ATCCAGGGTGCAAACAAAATTACTCGTACACCAAACGAAACCAATGTTTTTAAAACAGAAAAATCATAGCATATGATGGCCTCTACACAAATTGGAACCACTTCCAAATCAAAAAGTGAGGGGGAAATTTGGTGAGATGCATCCCAAATAACACTCCTCCACGGCCACTTTTTCAATCCAATCAGGACAGGAGAACATCTTCTCCATCAAGAAGGTAACCCAATTGGATCTTACGTACAACAAGTTCACTTCTTTAGTGTTGATTTTGTCCTCATCGTCCTGTTAAAATTTATCATCCGAACCAAACCAAAACCAATAAAATAGGTAGTCTCTTACCTCACCCCCCATAAGAAGTTTGCAAAGGAACGGAAGTTAGAGTTGCAGTAACATATAGCTAGCAGTTCCTGGTGAGAAAGAAACTACAGCAATCGCCACCACCGACCACTTCAACCAACTCCGGAAAACAAAATTTGCCAAGAAAACAGAAGATTTACTACATCCACAATCTCAGAGCTACTGAGAATTTCATGGCCACTCCAAAAGCGTAAATTTGTCAAGCACGGTAAAGAAAGAAAGCGCGTCCCACTTTACAGCAGCAATGAAAGAGAGAGAAGCAGAACCCATGAGTCAATTTCATCAAAGGAGATGGAAAGTTGTAATCTTTCTCAAGCTCAAAACTTTCTCACATACCTGGGGAGTAGGTTTGCACTTTTGTGTCCTGAACTTGAACACGCCCCAGCTATGGGGTTTTTCACTTTTCAGCCTTTGCTTCGAAGTCACAAATGAAGTTCTGCAGCAAGTCGAAGGGTCCACTTCTCTACTCAATTCTACTACCCTAGAGAAAGGAATATAAAAAAAAAAACTCTGCATCGAGCCGGCATTTTATAGCACAATGTTTCCAATCAACCATTTGACCTCGTCTGTCCCTTGCAATTACAATCATGCCACCATAACTACAGAGAAAACTGAAAAAGAACAACAAATAAGCGGAGACAAAAATATGATGCAACAAGATCCATACTTTAGAACTCAAATTAAAATTTAACTGATAATCTAAAATTACAACTAAATAATGGATTTTACTTAAAAGGGTATCGATCCGAACGAACTTTTTCGGTTGAGGAAAGGAGTACGGATGGTTTTAACAAGGTAAACTCACAACTACAGTATCTGGTTTAATAACTATCGCGTGCCGGTGAAGCAACAGCTCCATTGTAAGATTAATTAATCGAACCGAAGTTCGGACAGTGATTTGCTTTCCTTTTGTTTACTTCGTCCACGCATAAATGCATTTTGATATGTCTTGGCTTTGACGGATATATCGAGGAAAAAAGGTAAGCTTTTTGTGTTGACGTATTAAATGAAAGTGATCTAGCTAGCAAATCTGATATTTACTTAAACAAAAAGAAAATCATAATTTTATCCTGCACGATTTTATCGGTTTTGATATTCACGTTATTACCGATAAAAATTAACGTATTTTTTAGACAAACACATTCAGATATGAGAGCATTGAATCTGAAACTTGGTAACATTAGATTTTCTGATTTTAATAAAGCAAGGGTTTGATAAGATAAGTACTAGACTATGCATGACTCTCTTATTTTGGAAAATAATTATGAGTATTTTCCTTTTCTTCTTGAGAAAAAAAAGGTTGATTGATTAATTAAAAGTTTAAAAAGAAGGAAAGTTGAAAATCCAAGTTGCAATTCAACTCTAGATTGTTGGTGATAACTGATAAAAAAAAATCTGGTCTTTTTTTGACAAAAAAAAAATCAGGTCAATGGTTGGTTGCGGAAAATGAAATGAAATAAATAAAATCACAAGGCAAACAAACAAACAGGATTTTGTTTATTTAAGTGCTTTTTTTTTGTATCCCTTTGCATGGTTTTCAATTTTCAGTTACAGTGGTCAAATTAATACTGTGGAAAGTATTGAAAACTGCACTGCCAGGATTATTAAACTCAGATACACGGTTGGTTGATAGTTTATTAATTCAGATAGGTCATTTATACCATTAGCTCGACAGGGAGCAGCGGGTGCGAGATTGACAATGTTTTTTTTCCTCGTTCCGACCTGCATCATATAATCTGCGAAAATGTTCGATCGCGCTCGTGCAAAATTTAGAGGGATCATCGCTCGTCTTTAACTGGCCTAACAGTTTAGACATTGACAAGTAGGCCTTACAACTTTGAAAATGCTGAGAGTTGTCGCTGGCTGCTATTTCGTTTGCTTCCTTGCTGCTGTTGTCAAACAGATTGCAATGTTCCTTTTTGATCTATCATCATTAATACATCATGTTGTTGCAAATATTACGTAATTCCTTTTTCCAATTTTATTGTGATATTATTTTATTTTAGTTTTAAAGCAAGTCAAGTACTTAGATAGAGCAGAATGTCTGATGGTCAATTTGTTGAATTCTTCCTCTGTGCATTAAAAGTAAACGATATGGTACTTGATTTATACTACCCCAAGTTGCACCGGCGAAACCGTTACGGCGACGGATCGATGAGGCAGACGGCGGGTTGGGTAAGTTCGAATGTTCCATTGGTTGGTTCTTGTGGATCGGTCGGGTTACGAGTAGGTCGGATTATTGAGTCATGTTGATGTGACTTGAGTCAGATAGATTATCTATCATCGACGGGAAGTTACAGGGTCTCTCTGCATGGACTTGTACACGTTTGAGTTTATGCTATGTGTCTGGTCTATAACCTTATCCTTTACTAAATTGGATTTGGCGTTAGGTCTTCTGGAGAATTACTATATATATACTTCTCAATCCTTCGGTAATTTATATCTTCTCAAGTATAGTGAAACTGACTCTCTCCTATCCGCGTGCTAAGATAACACACATGACGAGGAATCCCTCCAGAAGGCACCACTTGAGTGATGCTGTCAGGCAAACTTCGGAGATGCCGACCATCCACCAGGGTCATTGATAGTTGGCCGATAAATTAACTCTATGTCACATTATTATGCTTGATTGGAATCAGTCCTATAATTAGGGGTGGCCAATAGGTTTTCGGAGCGGTTAACCGACCGGTTACAACCGAAACCGGTCGATTATCCACTAACCGAAAATTGAAATCACCAAAATCGGTCGGTATTCTAAGGGATGAGCGAGATGCTTTTGGTCTTGTGGGCAGCTCGGTTAACCGAAAATCGAGATAACCGAAAAACTTAATCCCTATTTCGGTCGGTGGTCGGTAGAGTTGGGAGGTGGTTCGGTTAACCGATAACCGATCCTTCGGTTTTCGATTGTAACCGAACCGACCAACCCTCCACCCCTACCTATAATCAAGGATTCAAGGTAGGGCTGGGAATCTAGACCAAACCGTATGGGAAATCGCGGTCTAGACCGTATCGTATGGTTTGGTCTGGACCGCGAGACCAGAACTATGATCTGGTCTGGTTTGCGGTCTCCTCCTTTAGTGTGTGGTCTGAAGTGGTCTGGACCGCGGTCTACCGCAGTAAACCGTAATAGACCGCGACACATTACCTACTAACTCGGATAAAAATAACACTAAATTGAACTTCCATTTGTGTATTTGAAGAACAAAGTTAGTTGATTCTTCATCTAGTTGAGAGCCAACAAATTGCCAAATGATCGCTTATGTGTTATCTCCTTATCAAAGAACCACACAAAAATCAGAAAGACTCATAAATAATATTCAAAGACAATGTCTAGAATATGGAGTCGATAAAAATTAAACGATAGAAATTTTTTTGTTCACCTTGATGAGATAAGAAAAAATTATTGAGAGATATGTGACCATCTTAGTGGTTCAAAGTTACCGTGACGTCATCACAAAGGTTATCAACCGGGAGAACCTTCGGATCACTCAAGAGAGGAGAGAAGCGGTAGCACAAAGAGGAATAGGAAAACAAGACTGTTTGATGTGTGTGTGTGTTTGAAAATTGAAAAAATCCACTTATATCCTCATATTTCTTCTCATTTAATTACGATCACAATTTTTTTTTTTTTGTTTCAATAGCATATTGGTCACTAGAATTTTTATTTTTATAGATACCAGCAAAGGGTTGGAGGGCGAACAAGTGTTAATTTTTGTTTTAACATGGTCTGTCTGGTCCAGACCATACCGGACCGCATCGCACAGGTGTGGTCTGGTCTGTACTGTATAATATATGGTCTAGTCTATGATCTGTATTTCAACCTCTTGATTTGGACCACAGACCGTATCTATGATCTGGTCTAGACCAGACCGCACCATTTCCCGCCCTTAATTCAAGGAGAGAAAAAAAACACCCACCATTCCTTGTCACTCTTAACACAAAACCTCCCCACATCCTAGCAACTAGGTATCATCTATCCCATCAGTGTCCGTTACTGCTTCTGCATGCGAGGCATTCAAATTTGCGACATTTGAAAAGGAACATGCACAAAATCAGGAAAAAGTTACACTGATGAATGCTATATATGTGGCGTCTTGGACAGGGTACTAGGAATCTAGCTTGGACGCTAATTGCTCTGTGTGTGGGATGGCGGCGGTCTCCTATTCATACTTCTCTTTGAAATTCCTTCGATTCTCCCCTGTCCATGTGTTCTATCTCTTCTTCTCTGCACAAAGACACCCTAGCTATACCCAGGTCTCGTCACAGCTATCATCGTCACTTGGACGGTGATTGTCGTTTCCATGGATATGTTACGTACTAGGTAGTTGTTCTTCCATTGACGGCAAATTTCGTTTACACAGAAGAAGAGAAAGTGCATACCAAACACACTAAAGCAGGAGACTTGATAATCGGAACACATCGTTGTTCAGGTTGCGGTCTGATCTAAATCGCGAGATTTTTCATACTGTTTTAGTTTCGATTCTCTCCGGTTCCAATCTCGGTCCCACGATAAAGGATTATCATATAACTTGAATTACAACCGGATGTCTCGATTTGCATTTATGAGATGAAAGTTGACAAGTGATAACAACTTCATGGCATCCGCTTTGATGATCACCATGGAAGTTGTTGGGATATGGATTAATAAGCCTAACACGACTATAAACTGGCTCAAGCCCACTCAAGAAAGTCCAAACCCTGTATAAGGAGGCCTAACCCTCAAAACTGGGGATCTCTCCTTCCCTTCCTCACTTTCCCTAAGGTCTCTCTCTACTTTATCTCTACATACCATTACCATACACCCTCTCCTATATCGTACTAACTTAGACGTCGAAGCGTAGATTCTGAGAGCCGCCTCTGCCTCACAAGTTCTTCCACTCTCGAGAAGGTCGGATGATGAAATCCATATCGAAGCCCCATAATTACTATGTTAACCTTGGGAACTTTCCTGCTGCAAACAGATGACATCTCTTGCTTTCTCGCAAAGGCTATGACTGACGTGTAGATTTCATACCATCCAAATCCAAGATGCAAGCAATTTAATATTACTTCCTCCTTCCAAGTTCAACTCTATTTTCTTGTTTGTTTAGCTGCCACACAGCGTCAAACGATTTTAGTAATTACAAGTGCTAATCCTAATCATACAGCACACTAATTGTCCACAGAAGAGTGATTGGACCATAAGCACAAGGTCCACTTAACAAGGGTAATTGCCAATTAGCCGGTGAAGAATCTCTTCCAAGACTGCCATGGCAGAAACCCACCTGCATCATCATCATCATCATCATCATACCATGTTTACACAGCGTTAATGGTTTGTTCGTTAATAAAGATAAAAACTTTGAGCTGTAATTTAGTAGGATACCGCATCCAGGGCAGCGACAGTACTCCTCCCGGTTGTCCTTGTCCTCCATTAGAACCAGCCCAGACCCTCCGCACACTTCACACCTCCTCTGTTCTATCTGCAACCCCAGGAAACAGAGACAGACATTTGTCAGCAGTAGCAACGTAGATTGCAGTTTGATTGTGAGAGCCGGAGGCAGAGCTACCCAACTATTCTTTTGCTGAACTCAATCCCGGCCACCACGAACGGCAACACTCCGGCTGCTCCGTTTTGTCACACGCACACAAAAGTAATGAGCTTTTTAGGTTTCAAGTGGCAATCGACAGTAATAAAAATTAGGGTTTAATTAAATTGAGGACCTGTAGCTCCGACGACAATCTCCCAGGTGACGGTGGCGGGTTGTCCTTGCTGACCCGACAGCACGGTGGCGGCGGCGGATGATAGTTCATCTCCTCCTCCTCCGACCACCGCCGCAATCCTTGGAGCTCGTCTTCTTCTTCTACCTTGTGCCCAGCGATTGCTTGCCGGCGGCTTGAACCCGTTTTTCCGGAGAGGGAAAGGGTGGGTGAAAGATGAAGGAAATGCGGCGGGTTCTATCGCCGCCGGAAACAGAGGGGAAAAAGCCATCGACGGCTCCGATTATGAACTGCAACTACAAGAATCGGGCTGTCCAGGGCGTAAACTGAACGACTAGAAATGCAGAGCGGCGCGCAGTTTTGTGGTTCTGGTGCGGCCTCTTGGCCCTCTTTGATTCTCTCGTTGTGTACGCAGTCGTTTCAACTGACCAAAGGGGAAGGAATGTATTTACAGATCAGTACCCATAAATTTATCCTATTGGCATTTTAGTTCTTGGAGTTCGCTTTTCCCGGGTGGATGGATATCTCATTTGAGTCATTTCTTAGAAAATAGTAGGGGTGGTAAACGGTAATCCGGTAAACGGTTTACCGTTTACCGGCGGTATCGGTAGCCGAGCGGGAAGTCGGGGGAGTCGGTTTACCGAACACGGTATCGGTAAATACCGACGGTAAATCGGTAATACCGATACCGAAATCCCCCCTCCCTACTCCACTAACATATAACATATACATCATTATTCACAAATATAAAATATTACATACATGAATGTAAGTAAGTATAGGCCTCAAAAATATTGTAAATAAGAGTTAATAATAAATTACTAATTATAAAAATGATGAAAAAAACTCTAAAAAATCAAAATATTACAACATCACCCCACTTCTAGAAATTCGGTCCGGTAAATATTCGGTAAACCGTCCGAAAAACCGCCCGAAATCGCTTCTCACGGTATTTCGGTAATACCGGTTTGTAACCGTTTACTGGTAATTCGGTAATCGGTAAACCGGTTACAAATCGGTATCGGTAATCGGTAACCAATTTGACCACCTTCGGTATACCGAAACCGGTAAATTCGGTAAACAATTTACCGTTTACCGACCGAATCCCACCCCTAGAAAATAGGGACTGAAATTTCGACAAAGTTTGGGATATAGGACTGAGTTGTAATTTGTTACATTACCCACGGGGCTGGGACTGGGGCTGGACTGGGAATCGTCGGGGAGGCCCAGCCCTAGGCCCACCACAAGTGTAGGTCCGGTGAATCCGACCCGCAGAATGGGACGAGTGTGGGTACTCTACTCGATCTGATATGTCCTGACACACTCTATTTTTTGTTCTATTTTGTCTAAATTACGTGTAATTTTACTCAAATGACTTATGTTTTTATTTTTATCACCTCATTTTAGCTATAATAAAGTTGGAAATATGTGAGGTTCAATTTCATGAATAATTTAATTATGTTTACCATAGCATAGTCTATCTCTTGGGTTTTTTAATGAAAAAAATACGAAGTCCCGAAAGCAAGCATGACATCATTATGAACATAAAGTCTCAAAGTATGGAATCCCAGAAAGAGGCTGACCCAACTTAAATGGGATATGATTTATATGAGTCGACCTGTTCCGACTTACGCCCGTCACAAATTACTCGACCTAAACCCAATCTACCACGATACGGATATAGATATCCAGATACTCTCCTCCGAACTGCCCAATGTCATTCCTCCTGGTAGCCTCACCCATGCCATGACTTCACAACCATGTATGGACAATCAAATCATTTAATCTTAATATGAAGTCTAACTAAATTCATTTGCAAAGTGTAAACGTAATCTTTATGCAGTTTCCCAACTACAGTGAGGGCTTGGTCTCTGTTTGCTGGAGGAAGATGAGTGTCGCTTTAAAGGAAGAGAGAAAATGATGGATTATATAGATTAGTGTTGTATTAGAGATAGGGATGGCAATTATAGTCGTAATCGTGGGTATTCGACCCTGCCCAACCCGGTCAATGAGGGGAATCTCCGCATTGACTGAGTATGGGGTGGATATGGATAATACCCACAAAGAATCTTGTGGGGATGGGGCGGGGTGGATTTGAGTGCCCCGCCCCATACCAATATCCATATTCGCCCCGTCATTACTTATGTCTTATAATTGTGAAATTTAACTACAATGTAATCTACCAAAAGGACTTAAGGGTTATTGTAAAACAAAATAAGGACTAAAAGATTAATTTCACATAGTTAAACCAACCCTAATTTCTTAACAAACTAACACTTTACTTTGGAGGATAACTTGACTTTTATGTGTGGATTTTTATTGTTTAGTAGGTGTTTTGGAGATAAATAATTTGGTGTTGGATTATTTATTGGTACTTTGTTTATGGAACTTCTTAGGAATTGGATGATCTAATTAAGTTTTTCAGTGTTTTTTATTAGGTTCATCATTGATTAGATTTGATGTTTCAACCCAATAGTTATATGTTTTGTTGAATTCAAGTGTGTTAATTTAGTTATAATCATAATCAAATGTACGGGGCGGGGATTACCATCGGGTATCCGAAACCCGCGGGGATGGGGATGCAAAATCTTTCCCCGCATGGGGATGGGGAGGGTATGGATTTGATAATTGAAAATGGGTATGAGGATGAGTTTAGTACAATCCGCCCCAAACCCGACCCATTGCCATCCCTAATTGGAGAGGAGGGTTCTGACTTCTGTCCTATTTTTATCTTTCCCACTAACTTTCTCTAAAACGATGTCGTTGATTAATTTATATTTTAAAATTTTCCAGATTGTTCGGTAGGATTAACCTCTAAAAACCAGTCAATACACTTTTTTTATCACGACTACTTGTATCATTCCGGATTTGACTTCAGTACTTGTATTTTACGGTTCAACTGCTAATACGGTTTTTTAATTATTCCTCTCAACCTAACATACCGTTTGGTATAAATGAATTCCATAAGTTTTTATAAATTCATTTAGAAATGAACTCTTTTTGTGTTTGGTATTTAAAAGAATTAATTTTCAATTCTAAATTTTGAATTATATGAAATTGAAACTAGTTATAGCAATTCCGATGAATTGAGATGAAATTTGCAAATGAATTCCACGAGTATTTACTAATTATAATAGAAAATGGCATCATTATCCTCATTTATTAACGAAATTACTTCTACATATATTATTTGGCTCAAATTAATGCAATATGAGAAACGTCACCAAGAATTTGATTACAACGCTATAGCATATGCTGGTTATTTTGTACTTCTGGTTCGATTGTATTATTACGTTGAGAAAGTACAACAAGATTGTAGGATTAATCGACGAAATATTATAAAAGAATTAATGAATAGAATAGAACACACAAGAACAATTTTGATTTTCTACGTATGAGACCAAAGACATTTTTTAGAAGATGAATTTTCAATGAATATTGTTTCTTCCGGGAATTAATAAGGGTGTAGTTGGAGAAAGTTTTAATTTAATTCTAAACATATATCAAACATGGTTTGAGAATTCAATTTATTTATTTCTAAAGATTTGAAAATGAATTCTAAATTTATTTAATTCGACAAAGTAATTCATTTTAAAATGAAATGAATTCTAAATTCATTTGGGGTTCGTTTGCTTCATGGATTTGAAAAATGAAGGTTTTGGTATAAATTTGATTTTGAAAAACCATGGATATATGAGGGTTTTGGGTTCATTATGGATTTAAAAAACAACATTGTTTGTTTCATGGATTTCATTATGGATTTTGTTAATTAAAATGTATGTATGAAGTGAAATTTACCTTTATTGCCCTCAATGATATAAGAAGAGAAAGTAAATATTAGAGGTATGTTGGTAAAAAATGACGAACTTCAAGGTCCATAATCAATTCCCACCTAAAGAGGTGAGATTTTTAAACTCGTGGGGCGCACGAATTTGAACCCTCAAAGTCCATGGACTTCACATATTTGTTACCTCTAACTACTTAAAGCAAACAATTAATTTTGGACAAAGTCAATCATAAATCTAAATTCATCAATCATCACCAAATCGTTTATCAAATCCATCAAGCAAACAAACTTCGTATCAAACGGTTTGTAAAGAAGATCCCAAACAAACGCAAGTCCAATTCAATTCCATTTCTCATCAGTAGACCATAGTAGTAGTCAGTACTCAGTGTAGGATCCAGTTCTTTTCGTATGTTTTTTTTTTGTGAACGGTTTTTTTTGTGTGTGTTAATTATAAATTAAACTAAAATTTTGCTGAAATTTCTCTCGACTCCGACTCGTCCCTGACCTTTCCTTCTTCCTTCCCCTTTTTCTATTGCAAATTTTAAATTATCGTATAAAAAATAAAATAAATTTCGCTGTTCCTTGTTGGGTTCGCTCTGGATCTAGGGTTCTTTTAATTTTCCTTCCTTCACCCCGGATCCAATCAATCTCACAGCTTTCTCCCTCTATCTCTTCTGTCTCCCCTCTCTCTCTCACTGTCTTCCCTTCACTTTCCTTAGATCGAAGCCAGGGGAGAAAGAAATCGTCACCATCATCGTCCTCCTCGAATTGGCCGAATTCTTCTCTCTGAAAATCGAATTCCTGTGCCTCAGAGGTTTTTCGAATTTTCTGCTGCTGGCCTGAAATTTCACTCGCCTTCGATCAGGTAATTAATCAATTCTACCTTTGCTTCTTCGGACTTGGCTCGGTTGCGGATTGTGACTCTCTTCTGGCTGCTGATCTCTCGATTCCATCCCGATGACTTGCCCAGTCGCTATCTGTTTAGAGCAATGAGCTTATGAATGAGTCGGGCTAGGGTGCTTGCAGCTGGAGAAGCTACGCGATGATTTCTCCAGCTGCTGATCTCCCGATGTTTTGCTCTGATTATAATACAATTGAACTTTGTTATTGGCGTTTGCTTGGATTGCTGAGAACTTAGACAGCTAGTTGTCAAGGACTGATAGAGACTTTGCTTAGTGAGATTAATCGAGTTTAGTTGGATGCTTTATCTTGGTGTTATATACTTGAAGTGGAGGGAAGCTCGTTTAGGGAATGCGTTTGAGTATGTTGCTCTCCAGGCTGTAGATCGGTTATTGACCTCTTCAGATGATTGCTTCAGTGCTTAAAATCACATGCATTGTCGAGTTTGATGGCTGTGAATAATGTTTTGACATATTATTATAACTATATATGGGTCAGTTATCAATTCGGTGATGGTGGTTGTTTGACATTGTAGTTGATCGGAGGCAATGGCTGAGTCCGGTATCGGGGTTACTTGTGATCAAGCTAGGATAGTGAGCACTCTGCAGTGTGTTTGAACCCTTCTTAATGAGTTCGTTAATTGTGGACTAGGCTTGTATTGTTTATAACTTATCCTGTTGGTAATTTAACCTCTGCCGTTGGCAATGTGAATATTCATCTGTTTGTCAAAACGTTCTCTCCTGATTGTTTGGGCAGGTTAGGTGATGGAAGCATAGGTGTACCGAGTAAAAGTCATATTTTCAGAAAGCCATGGGGACTGAGAATCCTGGCCGTCCAAGTTTTCCTGCCACGCCTTTTGCTGCTGCTCCTCCAACGATGACCCCATTTTCCAATTCTGGCTCAGTGGTTGGATCAGAGGCCTCTAACTTGAGACCGATGCGGCCAACTGTTCCGCCAAATACTTCGCCACCTATGACTGCTGGACCTGCAGGTTCTGGGGAGTCACCTGCCTTCAGACCTGCACCACCAACTCGTTTCAATGATCCCTCCTTGCCCACCCCACCTTCATCATATGGCCCCCCTGCTGCTGGAACATTCAACCGCTTTCCAACTCCACCATTTGGATCTATGCCACCAGGTCCTCCTGCGCGTGCTCCGGTGGTAGGCCAGCCACCATTCCAGCCCCCTCCCAGTCAAGTATCACCTCCTCTGTCCTTTCGTCCACAGGGGCAGATTCCAGGAGTGCCTATGGGATCTCCTCCACCTGGTGTGAACACTCCTCAGATAGATTCATCATTTCCTGCATCAAGGCCAAATTTTCAGCCATCTTTTCCCCCTACGGTTTCCGGTTACCCTGCAGCTGGAGCCTCTTCGCAACTGCCTTTACCTGGATATGTAAAGCAGTCAAATGCACCTTTTCAAGCTCCACAAGGTCCTCCTGTACAGTCGCCCTTCCAATCTCCGCCTGTAGGTTATGCGCCTTCTGCACCAACTCCATCCCCACATTTTCTTTCTCAACAAGGTGGTCTAGCTCAAGCTCCACCAGTTGCATCTCCATATGGCTTGCATTCCAGGGACCAAATTCAACATCCAAGCACCATGCCTCCTATGGGCGCTATGCAAGGTTTGATAGAAGATTTCAGCTCACTCTCTATTGGGTCTGTTCCAGGATCAATTGATCCTGGAGTTGACTCTAAGTCACTGCCGAGACCATTGGAGGGTGATGTGGAGCCCAATTCATTACCTGAGGGATATTCATTGAATTGCAATCCAAGATATCTTCGACTTACAACAAATGCTATTCCGAATTCGCAGTCTTTAGTCTCACGGTGGCATTTGCCTCTTGGTGCAGTTGTTTGTCCTCTCGCTCAAGCACCTGAAGGGGTGGGTGTTGTAACTTAATTGATAATATTAAGATTTCTATTCTTTCGTTAAGTGAAGAACTGAGAGTTTGTGGTGTTTTCTTTTCACGATTTACATTATCACAGGAGGAGGTGTCAGTACTAAACTTCGTTTCATCTGGGATAATTCGGTGCAGACGATGTCGTACGTATGTAAATCCCTTCGTAACATTTACGGATTCTGGGAGGAAGTGGCGTTGCAACATCTGTGCTCTACTTAATGATGGTAACATAAATTATCTCCTAATAATATTCCTTTTGTTGCCTTGGTACTGTATGGAGTAATGTCTATAGGACAGATCTCGCCTTGAGCGTTTGGTGGCATTTTTGTTGTTTTAAATGTGATTTCTATGTTGCTGAGTGTTTGATGTCGATTTTAAACCTATATGGGGAGAGTGATCCATTCTGGAGTATGATCCTTTTATCAATTTTCCCTGCTCGCTTTTCCTTGTGGTTAGTCTATAGGGTTATTGACGAACTAAGAAAGCAAGGTTGATTGAGTTGATATTTGACAGAATGTAGGTGTGCTCATTTTGTAATCTTACTGATTCGTATTGGATAGCGAAACCATAGACTAAGAAGGGGAAAGAACTGATCTTGTCTGAAGGGAGGGGGGAAAAAAAAACTCTGTGCTGCACTGGCAGGCGCTTGGAAAATGGGAGAAATTGAATCTAGAGAACCAGGAAAGTAGGTCATATGGGTGGAGTACCTAACTGTAGGCTAAAACAAAAAAACTGATCTTAATGAACAATATTCCCAAACACGCTCTTAATACTATTTGGGATTTTTTTCTTCTTTTTGTTCTAGTAGTAGTGGTTATGGCTTCTCTTGTCTTCTCATCAAATGAGACTTAATATAGCCATTTAGTTGGTTCTGCTCTACAACCATAGGTATTTGCCCGTATGCTTCTCATGTTTAGCAACTCATCTGATTTTTGTCTTAAATATCCGGTGTAGTTCCTGGAGATTATTTTGCCCATCTAGATGCCACGGGAAGAAGAGTTGATCTGGATCAAAGACCCGAGCTTACGAAGGGCAGCGTGGAATTTGTTGCTCCTACTGAGTATATGGTGCGGCCTCCAATGCCGCCCCTGTACTTCTTCCTCATTGATGTATCGATTTCTTCTGTCAGAAGTGGTATGATTGAGGTGAGTTCTTCTAATCGTCCTAGGAATGTGACTGAACTGTCTGATTTTATTCTCTATGATTTCCACATGCTTTCTTGAGGGTTTAGGTTTGTGCATGCATGTCCCTGCAAGTAAAACATTGGTATTGACCTTCAAGTTCCTTATGTAGGTCGTAGCGAAGACTATAAAGTCTTGTTTGGATGATCTTCCTGGATTTCCCAGAACACAGATAGGGTTTATCACCTATGACAGCACAGTACACTTCTACAACATGAAGGCAAGTGATGAATTGTCATATGAAATAGTGAGGATATGAGACTGTTCTACCATTGCAGGAGTCAGTTAAGCTTACTGTGTCCCTTTTTTGCAGTCATCCTTGACACAGCCTCAGATGATGGTCGTTTCTGATCTTGATGACATATTTATTCCGCTACCTGATGATCTCCTTGTCAATTTGTCTGAATCAAGAACCGTGGTGGAAGCATTTCTAGATAGCTTGCCCACAATGTTCCAGGACAACCTGAATATGGAATCTGCTTTTGGTCCGGCTCTGAAAGCTGCATTCATGGTTATGGTATGCATGCTTTGTGATCTCACATATAAGTTTGATAAACAATAGTACCATAATATTCTTATTTGATGGGTAGTTCTGCTATCTGATGTCTTTGTTTGATCTTAGAGTTGATAGAAAACATTATTAGATTGGTTTAATGTTGGATTTGTGATGCTACAGGAAAATTCATTACTAATAAGTAAAATGCTGAGTGATGTTGAGGATAGACAGTATAGTAGACGCTCGAATCTTAATTGGGCATTAATGTTCATGCTTTTAGTTGCTTTTATTTCGGTAGGTTGACCAGAATAATTGCAATGCTAGCTGTTGGAGTTGGAAATCCAGAGGCTACATAATCCCCTCCTGGATGGATGGCATCATAAGTCTTTAGTTTGAAATGTTGATGCAGGCCTTGGTAACAGCTTTCTATTCAATCTAAATACTTATGATGCCATCCATCCAATTTGGTGTAAAAGCCTATACTTTCTAGTCTGGAACTCTGCAAATCATCCAAATTCTTGAACTGAAAGAAACTATATGCTCAGTTAAATTTTCATGTCCAGCAAAGATACCTATTGCTGAAAGGCAATATACTCTCTTCCCCATTTTGTTGTTTTTCTTTTTGAACTTAAACAAACTACATGGTAAGTTAAATCCTCATGACAAACAAAAGAATTTTGATTCCTGACAACCAATAGATTATTTTTTTTTCCATTTGTCTTGTTTTGATTGTTTCACTTTTCTCGAGGAGTTCCTTTTGGGTAGTTGAAAGTTAAAAACAGATAAGACCTTTTACATGTTCAGCTCTCTCATTTCGCTTGAGTTCTTTGTGCTACTCTTTGCCACATTTGGCACCTTCTGATTTTTATGATCTTTCCAGTAATTTGCACTCTCATTTCTTTTCTGCAGAGTCAACTTGGTGGAAAGCTTCTAATATTTCAGAACACAATGCCATCTCTTGGTGTTGGTCGCTTGAAATTGCGGGGAGATGATCCACGCGCATATGGAACAGATAAGGAGTATTCTTTACGTGTACCAGAGGATCCATTTTACAAACAAATGGCTGCGGATTTTACCAAGTTCCAGATAGGAGTCAATGTTTATGCCTTCAGTGACAAGTATAGTGATTTAGCTTCCATAGGTACATGTTCTCTTATTTTATCTATTAATTATGGATCAGAAAGTAAAGCTTTTCCAGATTGTATATATCTTCTGCTAACTTTTAGCATGTTTAAAAAAATATCTTATGTTATTTTCTTATATCACTAAAGCATGATGATATGCACGCCACATGTGATTGGTCCTGAGTTGTAAATGATTTTATTAGATTGTTCTTATAATGACATCTTTGAGCTCCAATTTCCATTGTATCGGTATTGATAATTTCGTTTTTATTTCTTTCTACAGGAACCCTTGCTAAGTATACTGGCGGACAGTTATATTACTATCCAAGTTTCCAAGCTGCTAATCATTCAGAGAAATTGAGTCATGAGTTGACCAGAGACCTCACTAGAGAAACTGCATGGGAGGCTGTAATGCGCATAAGATGCGGCAAAGGTATACTTATCAAACGGTCGATGTTGCTTTTAAAACAGGGCCAGGTCTACCAAATCTGAGAATGTTTTGCACTTAAGAATGGGTAGAGAGCTCATTTTCCTTTTGTTCATGTATAATGCAGGAATTAGGTTTACATCCTACCATGGGAACTTCATGTTAAGGTCCACGGATCTAGTGGCTCTTCCAGCAGTTGATTGTGACAAGGCATATGCAATGCAGTTATCACTCGAGGAGACATTACTGACAAATCAGACTGTATATTTTCAAGTTGCTTTGCTGTATCCTTTCACCAAAATTGTGCCACGTTGATTCATCATCTCATTTTCTCTAAATTTGCTGACATTCTGTCATTTCCATTTGAGAAAATGTGTACCCTTACTAGGTAAACACAATGGATGAGTTGTTGTGTATTTCCTTAACTAACTATCTAAAGGTATACTGCTTCTTGTGGAGAGAGGCGTATAAGAGTACACACAGCTGCTGCCCCAGTTGTCTCAGATTTGGGGGAGATGTATCGTCAGGCTGACACTGGTGCTATTGTTTCTATGCTTAGTCGCCTAGGTAACTGCAAATTGTACTTGCGGTTTTTTTTTTGTGTGGATTTTCCTAGACATTAAGGATAAATATTCTGACCTTTCTAATAATTGCAGCAATTGAGAAAACCATGTCCAGTAAACTGGAGGATGTTCGGAGTAACGTACATCTGAGGATTGTCAAAGCTCTCAGGGAGTACCGAAATCTTTATGCTGTACAGCATCGGTTAGGAGGTCGGCTGATATACCCAGAGTCTTTGAAGTTCTTACCATTGTATGGATTGGCCCTCTGTAAATCAACACCGCTCCGAGGAGGATATTCGGATGTTCCACTTGATGAGCGATGTGCTGCAGGATTTACAATGATGGCTTTACCTGTTAAAAATTTATTAAAACTTTTGTATCCCAGCTTAGTTCAACTAGATGACTATCTCTTAAAGGTGAGGGAAAAATCATCCCTTGATTTGGCATATATTTTTCTAAATTTCACTTTTTTTTTATGAATTTAACATTCGGTTTCAACCTCCTTTGTGCAGCCATCTGCGAGTGCCGATGAGTTTAGAAAGGTAATGAAGAGGTTGCCCCTGACAGCAGACAGCCTCGATTCTAGAGGCCTTTATGTATATGATGATGGCCTTCAGATTGTTCTATGGTTTGGAAGAATGCTATCACCAGATATAGCTATGAATCTACTGGGGCCAGATGCTGCAGCTGAACTATCAAGGGTATGGTTGGCGCCCTTATTCTTTGAAGTATATCCATTTAAAATTTGCGTTGCAGCTTTTTATGGATGTCACTGGTCACGTGAAGCATTGCTGAATAGTGATCTTCCTATTGAATAATGGTTGATCTTCTTATTGCCTGGTGTTGACTGACCCTAATATGATTCCACGTTATCGATCAGGTCACACTCGTGGAGCGTGAAACAGAAATGTCAAGAAGGCTAATGGGATTGCTTAAAAAGTCGAGGGAGAGCGATCCATCGTACCATCAGCTGTGTCATCTTGTGAGGCAAGGAGAGCAGCCCAGAGAAGGCTTTATGGTGCTCACAAAATTAGTGGAGGACCAGACAGGTGGGACGAATGGTTATGTTGACTGGTTGATCCAACTACATCGGCAGGTCCAACAAAATGCGTAATACATCATCGGTACGTCTCTCATCATGTAGTTCTTCAATGTTTTGCACAGTGGGAGACGCATTCTATTAGATTAACATACTATGTCTTTTTTCCTTTTTTGGTAAATTACATACATACCATGTCTGCAGACATGCATGTACGCAGCATTTTGGTCTGTTGGCTTCAGAAGTACACTACACAGATGCAGTGTGGACGGGGAGACGGTCTTCATTTGTAAAAGAATACAGAATAACTACGTTTCTGCCGCCGAAACGTGGGCTGAACGCACTGCGAAAGAGCCATGGTACACCACTGAACAACAAGAAATGAAAAGAGGCAAATTCATTTGGGGCAATGCCGCTACCATGAGGATTCAATAATATATTTATTTGCATTTGGGGCATGTTCTTTTGGTCGCGGGTGCCACAATTTTCAAGTTGATACAAAAGCAATGCAGATTCTGGAAAAAAAGATAAGGAAATTTTTGCATGTGTAGTTTTGCCTGGCACATTATAAGTCGTCGTTTGGTTGATTATTCATGTGAAGAACTTTAGGCATATTTGGTTTTGAGCCCGTAGAGGCGTTTAGTTGGCGTTATGTCTCTACGCATCGTGGAATTCTGTTGATAGCTTGATAGTTTTGAGTATTGTACCAATACCTTAGCCATTTGTTCGAAAATATTGCTCGAACTTGTTGCTCAGTTTTCGAGAAGTGGTAACTTGCTTCATTTTGTTGTCTGAAGCTTTTTTCTTTTTTCTGATTGACTGATTCTGAATGGAAGGATTGAGTTTCATTGCTAGAGATCCAGGCACTACATTTTGTTTTGTGTGTTCTTTTCTACCTACAGCGTTAGTCGCAACAAACGTAAACGCCGTTCTGCGTTAGTTTTGGGTTCTCCCAAACTGTCAGCCTATCTTGTAGAAAAGTACTCCAATGCTGCATTGCTGGAAACCCATCTGCTTCTGGATCAAACACTGCTCTTCTAATCTAATCAACAGAGATTTCATGGTAGATGTTAGATTTGATGCCATTCCTGATGACTCCTCGAGCAAGGCTTTTAATGATACGTTCATGTGATTTGTGCTCGCTAGTGGCGAGGAGGTTCCGAATGAAAGATCTTGACTGCCTGCAAAGCTTTCCGTCTATTTTTATCCAAAAATCGCCTTCTTTTCAAGTTCCACGTTCTTGTTTCTAAATTTCTTCGAAAGGGTTGCATTATGGAAGAATTGTGCGCTTACCATTCTCTTACAAATGGGACACCAAAGTACTATTGGTAAGTACATCAATATCAACATTGCACCATACCATTGGTAACCACAGTTTGACCATCGACGATGACACGGGCAACAACAACGCAAGCTCAAGATATTCTGTCATCCGACTTGAGAAATACCGATTAATTTTTCGATGACAACAATGGCAAATATAATTGTCTGATGACGCGGGCGCATTGCCTCTATTATTGCCTCTCAAGGAGAAAGGTGGATGGTGTCATCAATGATGGATTCAGCAACATCAACGATTCCCTCATTAGTGAATCCATCATCCTTCATGTAAAAAAAGTGAAGCACCTTTACCATCTTGGAAAACAGTTGCTTGCAGCATTTCGGCATTCCCTGGTCCCTCTCCAGCAACACCAACCTCAACAGTTGCTTCCTCTCCCTCTCAATTGCTCGCTTCACCTCTTCCACCGCGTCGTCAAAACTGCGATCCCCTTCACGCAGCAGCAGCGACATTGCATTTATCGTCCCTTCATCGGACTCCCTCTGCAGATAACCATTGTAAACCAAAGTCTGAAACCCTCCCCCAAACCCACAGGCCACAACATATGCTTTGAGTAATGCATAGAGATGTAGGGAGAGATATTAGTAGTCACCTGAATTCCTCTCCAGTCATTGAGCAGGCGCCCACAAGTGCTCATCCCTTCGTACAGATTCTTATACTCTGGACTACTCACCATCTCCTCCGAGATTTTTGGCCCTACTAAGTAAAGAGCTGGAAGAACAATTGGCCCTAATGCTAATGATACGTGTGCGTGCTTCATATATTCCACCATTGTTGGCACCAACTTGTACCTTGACCATTCGGCTTCTTTCAACATTGATTTCACCACGTCCACCCACTGTCACAAATAGTTAATATTACCAAAAGGTAAAAATGAAAATTAGACCCCTACCCATGTCCAAGTCCAACTATACCCATATACTACCCTGTATTAAGGTAAAGGAGATGAAAGAGCTTTCCTACTCACAATGTCATTTACATGACGGCTGACGTCACGTGCTTGCCGTGCCAATGCCATGCCTCCAATCTCATGAATGCTGCCACGAATCGCTGTGAAAAGGATCTCAACTTGCTCGGAACAGAAATCTGTGCTTCCATCCACTTCCCACCTGCGATTCATTTCAACAACATTAAGTTGGAACGGCAGATAGAGAAGAAGAACGATGCGCAGCATTAAGTATGAAAAACATAATGGAAGGTAACGTACTTCTCAAGCAACTGAATAAGGTTTACAAATTCTTCCATGGAACCTCCAACATCGAAAAAGTCATCCACAACTGTTATAAGCACACCGTTTTTGGCCCACGAGATGCGAGCATCAGATAGTTCAGGTGCATACAGAATTGTGGCAGCTGAAAAGTAGCAATAGCCCAGCTTCTGCCTCGCAAATGATAGCTTGTCCAACTTATAATCAATAATCCACCTGTATACAAGAAGCCATAGGCGACAAATTTAAGTTTCCTGCAGGATGTTAAAGTTGCACCTCTAGGAAAGAATAGCTAACCACCTCGTGACACGTCTCGAGAAGAACTTGGCAGGATACAGAAAGAAAGATTTAATAATAGGATAACAGAATCATACATTTGAGTATGTATCATTTTCTATGATAAACCTCTCAACAACCATGCAAAACAGCAAACAGAAGAAGGAAGGTACGCAAGAATCACACCTTCCTAGTTGCTTGAGTTCTTTCTGCTGTATCGACTGGCAGAGGCTGAAGTCTTCGGCTGCCAGTTCAAGAAAATCTTTGTTCCCAATGTTTGGACAACTAGTATCGCAACCAGAATCAAAAAGAGGCAAAGCACAGTGAGCAGAAGTAAAATTCTTCTAGTGGTACTGAAGATTGAGGAAAAAGGAACGAGGGGGTACCAATAGGAGGTCTTCAAGGTCCAAATGTTGTCTATATTACTATACTGCTGGATATTTCTCCTATGGCCTAAGCGATCCAAATCAACATTAAAAGGATATGTGAGAGCATCATGCACCTGAAATGAGATGAAGGGTAGCTTAGAAAGAGATCGATCCAAGCACTGAAAAAAATTGATTCCTTCTAAAGTGCTTTCTGGGTTTTCCCCAGAAACAGAAGGATAAAAAGAAAAAAAAAATGAACAATTCTCTGAAGGGGACTTCTATCCCTCTCTTTTAAGCATATTCCATGGAAGAACTTTTTTATATAAATAACAGGTGCTACTGCACTCTAATCTTTCATCGAGCACTGAGCCTAAGTACATCACACCTTTGTGCTGATACTTTCACCAGGTTGGTCAACATAAATTGAGCCATTGCAGAATTCCTGTTTCAGGAAATTCATGGTCCAAGAATTTAGTTCTTCCAGGATAGGTTCTTCTGGAAAAATTATTTGTGAAGCTTTGTGCAACTCCAGTACAGCTGTCTTGTCATTCAAGTATCCTTCTAGCGAATTGAAGAAACATTCTTCTGAGAATGGAGATAGCTGATCTGTAGATAATATTATGAAAGCTAGTTAGACAGTAAACAATTCAACATCATGTTATGACCAGAACACCATTGCATGCATCTGAACACAATACCTGAAGAGACATCATATCCATAGATACGCAACAATCTAAAAGCCATGGCACAAGTGGTTGTATCCAGAAAAATCTCTTCCTCACCATGCAACCAGCATCTGTTTATATGATAGGCATGTCATGATTTCACTCCAAAGTTCAAACACATTACAATGCTAGCTAAGCTAAATCCAAGGAGGTTTTGCTTTAAGGAATCTCTCAGCTATGTCGAGTCCCATTCGAGAAGTAAAGAATTGCTTGCCTGTATGTCTGGTCCAGCAACATCTTCATTTCATTGGTGAAGTGGCGAGCAACTCCCAGACTATCAAGAGTGTCGATGATCAAAAGGTGGCTGCGTATGTCCAGTGGATATATTGTTGGAGCTAATAAGGACATAGGTAGCAGTGGTCTTCAGTAGATGTTAGAAAACAATACGGGGCAAGGATTTAAGAGTATTGTAGTTAAGGACAGACCTGCATTCTCGAATTTGTCTAAGATGGTACAAAGATAGCGAAGGCAATCAGGATCTCGAATATGAGAAAAAGCAACTGCAGTAGTCGAAGGTGAATTGAACAGGGATCCGTTCTTCCTCTGATATTTCATGACCATGTCCCAGTCTTGTGAGTGTTGGATACCTTCTGAAACATACGCCAAGTACGCTCTCCTTCCCTCTGCGTTTCCACCGAACCCACTAATGTAAAAGGGGAGAATGAAGTGAGAGAACGAAGAGGGAAGCAACGCATACACTGATAGCATTACAAAAAAGCCGGGGGGGGGGGGGGGGGGTATACCTTGTAAGCTCCACATCTCTCTTAGTCAGCATAGCATCTACATCATATGACTTGAAAGGGAGGTTCAACCCCAAATCTTGTGCATAGTCAATCATGCCAGGGAATATTATGTCGAACCCAACAGGTCCATGCTGCTTCTGATCCGTTAGCGAAGCAGAATTGCAGTCAAGAAACCGGAGGCCTACAACAACAGCGAGCAACAACAAGTGTGCATTAACCTTGTAAAACAAGAAACCGTTTACTGGTATGGGTTTATAACTTCACACGTACTCAATTCTGCTTCTCAAGCAATCAACAATTCCAATACTATATCGCTTCTCACTATTTCAAGACTGGTATTCACTATCAGATACACTTCACTAAGACAAAGGTAGCAATGCTGTTGGTCCCTCACACCCGATCACGGAGAACAGAGGTCCTGTAGCAGCATTTTCAGCCAATTGACAGCATACAAATTCTGCAAGCACCGGTTTCAGGGCAAGCAAACAAAAATACAAAATTGTTGGGGGGTGGGAAAAGAATGGGCAACAATACAGCGGTTGTTCGGCTTACCACCTATGAAGGAGCAAGATGTTGAGAATGGCAAAAAAGGTGGACCAGCTAGAGTGCTAAACACCCTTTAGTGTTAGCATTTTGGTAATAACGAACTCCAACCTTATCCTCCAACGCCAACTAATTTCCATTGCTCGCTCCGCAGAGACTTTTCCCACGACAGCGCCTCTGCCCCGGGATCCTTCTTTGTCTTCCGCCGCTTCCGCCATTGATTTCCTCTCCCTCTGCCATCAAATACAAGGCTCCGCTTGCTGTACTCTCTCAGCATCACATTAGTGAGGCGACGACCAGCAGTAGCAACATGATGATGATGATGATGATGATGACGATCGATGGATTTGGAGCTCATGAAAACCTAATTTCAATTCACCTCCCACGATTCCTTTCGTTGGATTTGTAGCCGTCATCGGGGAAGCGGAGCTCCTCCTCGCGTGAAATCCGGCAACGAAGAAGATCCGCTTTGAAATGCGGCGGCGGGTCTCGTGTGGGGATCCCCCACAACCCCATCGGCGGTCTGTCCCCCGCAAATTCGTCCACATAAGTTTATATAATTCTTCTATGGTTTAATGTTTTCATCAATCTTGTCAAAACCGAACCGGAATATGACCAAGTAATGTGGACGACTCATATTTTAATGGTCCAACCGTCATTAGATCGTTTAAAAACCGTTAGACTACCGGTACCTAATAAACGTCATCAATATAAATAGTTGACCATTTTTAATCAGAGTTCGTCTCTTTCCTTCGAAATGTTGAAATAGAAATTAGGTTTCAGTTTGAGAGCCCGACGTTTTTTATTTTTATCAATTTTTTTATTTTTTGAATTTTTTTAATTAAAATTAATGGCTTAATGGCAAAAACCGGATGAGCGACTCGATCGGCTCGAGCACTTAACTGCCTCGGCTGCTTGCCAGTCGCTACATAAAACCGAAGCGGTTTTTAGACCATTTCGAGCCACTTTGATGATCGGCTGGCGGTTTTACCGGTCGCACCGGACGACTTGATTCGGCTTTAATAACACTGGTTTTAATGAACATGTTTTAAGGATTTGTGATAACTGATAAGATCTAAAATTATGTGGTGTGATTCAATAAACTTGTAACATGTTTTAATAAATTTGTCACATGCTTTACAAAATTGTTGGGGAACTTGAAGTGGTTTGAATTTCAGTTCTTAAGCCTCATCCCTTAAAGTCTTTATATTGGCTGTTGGGATTTTAGTTAATTATTACTTTATTAGGGAGTTAGTGGTTAAGCAGTTATTAAGGGTATTTAGAGAATTATAGTTTTTTTTGAGAAATACTTCCTGCTAAATATTATTAATGAGAAATGTTCAAACACATAGACTCTTCTCTAAGAAGAGTAGCCAAAAAAATTGGTGGACTATCCACCCAACACTCATCCTCCTCCCAATTGCATGCAATATGGGCCATACAGTGAGCTGATCTGTTGTGGGCTCGTTTTACAAAGGCCCACTCAATTTTGTCAAAACCTGAGCCCATCTCTCTCACCTCCTTCACGATCTGGCCTACCTCCAGGGACGACGTCGTCTGGCCTGCAATCATCCTCACCACTCGTTGACAGTCAGATTGGAGGGAAATGGATCGCATTTGGAGACGGCGACCAATCTCCATCCCGAACAGAATCGCCATGGCCTCCGCCTCCGCCACCTCCCACTGCCGTCGAGTTCTTCTCACCGCCGCTGCCACAAACCCACCGTCTTTCCTCCGTACCACCACCCCAAAGCCTGTTCCCTTATCTGGCAAACATCCCGCATCCACTGAGATCGTGTAATCGGTCGACTGGGACAGCCTCCATTCCTCATTTTCCCGCTCCGCCCCCTTCACTTCCTCTTGAAATTCCAGGTATTCACTCAACCATGCCATGGCTCTCGAGATTATTTCCCATTCCTCCAATTTTCGCTTGTTCCAGACTTGACTGTTTCTTTGGTCCCAGATGAACCAAAGAGAGACGAGAAATCTCCCGATCTGAGCGTCGTCTTCCGTCTCCTGCAGGCTACAAAACCACTCCTCACAGGTAAGATCTTCCCCTCTCTCAAACAGTAGATGCATGTCAGTAGGTCTGGTTACTCTTCTCACCCACGCACAATCTTGAAAGATGTGTTTTTGGGTTTCTGGCAAATCGCAGAATGGGCACCCACCTGTTCCTTGTTGAGTTCTATCCAAAATTCTTTTTCCTGTCGGTAGAATGTCACGGATCCATCTCCACGAGAACAGCTTGACCTTAGGGGGTATGTCTAGTTTCCATAGCCTCTTCCAATCTACTGGTGTGTACAATTCTCCCAGCTCCTCCTCATCTTTGTTCTTCCAGAGCCGGTAGGCCGATTTGACCGTATATTCCCCTGTAATTTCTAGACTCCACACCTTCTCATCCATACAAGGTTGACGTGGGATAGGGATTTTGAGAATTTCTTTTCGATCCGAGGGGCAGAAGTGTGCTTGTAGCAGGCTTTGATTCCAACTTCTGCTTTCCAAATCCAATAATTCTGCTACTGAGGTAGTGCTACCCACCCTTGAGACAGGGGATTGCACCTTATGAATCTTGCTATTAGGTAGCCACTTGTCCAGCCAAATGTCAATACTGTTGCCATTACCGACTCTCCATCTAGCTCCCTTCTTGATCAGATTCTTGGCCTCCAGTAGGCCCTTCCATACGAAGCTTGAGCCTGCACCCTTCTCAGCCTCTAGTATATCCCTTGAGGGGTAATACTTAGCTTTCATTACCCTGGCCACCAGTGAATCAGGTTCCTTCATCAACCTCCACAGCTGTTTCCCTAGGAGTGCCATGTTAAAACATTTTAGGTCCCTAAACCCCAGACCTCCTTGAGATTTTGGTCTACTAACCTCCTCCCATCTAAGCCAATGTGTCTTTTTCTCTTCTTGCTGCTGCCCCCACCAGAAATTGGTGATAAGTCTTTGAATCTCCTGTAACACCCCTGTTGGGATTAAGAATATCGACATTGCATAGGTCATTTGGGATTGAGCAACCGATTTGATAAGCACTTCTTTCCCTGCAATAGATAGCATCTTACTCTTCCAGTGTTTTACCTTGCTGCGGACTCTATCCACTAGGTAGCCAAACACAGCCTTCTTCCCCCTTCCTACTCTTGTTGGAAGGCCTAGGTATTTTTCATGAAAAGGCACGCACCTCATCCCTAGCACAGCCGCCAACTCTTGTCTTTTGTCCATCTCTACATTTGGACTAAAAGATAATTCTGATTTCATCAAGTTGACTTGCTGGCCAGACTCTTGTTCATAGAGGGTCAGAATGCTCTTCAATTGCTCACATTCCTGCTTAGTAGCATTAATAAACAGGATGCTGTCATCCGCAAACAGGAGGTGAGAGATTGTGGGAGCTCCTCCTTTAACTTTCAACCCTGTAATCCTCCTGTCTCCCTCTGCCCTTGTAAGTAAACCAGATAGTCCCTCCGCCACTAATAGGAAGAGGTATGGGGAGATAGGATCACCCTGCCTCAATCCTCTCGTCGGTTTAAACCACTCAGTTTTGTGCCCATTCACCAGAATACTATAGGAAACTGTAGATACACATTCCATCACTAGTTGGATCCACTGGTCATTGAATCCAAGTTTCCTCATCATAGCCTCCAAAAAACCCCATTCTACCCTGTCATAAGCTTTTGTGATATCCAGCTTAGCTGCCAGCAAGCCTCTTTTCCCTTTCTTTCTCTGTTGCATTGAGTGGAAACATTCAAAGGCAACTAGAATATTATCTGTAATCAATCTCCCCGGGACAAAAGCACTTTGGTTAGGTGTAATGATATCAGGGAGTATCACCTTTAATCTGTTTGCCAAAACTTTTGACAGAATCTTGTATAAGACTCTACACAGGCTGATAGGCCTATAATCTGCAGGGGTAGTTGGATTCTTCTTCTTTGGGATCAGAGTAATTAAGGTTCGATTTAGCTCTTCAGGGAATTTACCTGTTTCTAGATAGACTTGTAGATCCTTTGTTACTTCATCACCCACAATCTCCCAGTTCTTTTGAAAGAACAGGGCAGGCATCCCATCCTCACCAGGTGCTTTCAATGGCCCCATTTGCTTTAGGGCTGCCCAGATTTCATCCCTTGTGAAAGGTTGCACTAGCATCTCATTCATTTCCTCCGTCACCTTTCTGTGCACAGAATCAACAATACTGGTCCCTTGCACCCTGTTCTCAGTCGAGAACAACCTCTTATAGAAAGATGTCAGACAGGCAGCTACCCTTTCCTGTCCTTCAAACATTTCCCCAGTTCCATCCTTTAGCTTCCTAATTGTATTTCTTTTCCTTCTCTCAGAAGCCCTGTGGTGGAAGAACTTCGTGTTCTTGTCCCCTTCTTTTAGCCATTCTGCCCTTGATCTTTGCTTCCACTTCAACTCTTCAATTGCCATGATTTCCTCTAGCTCTTTCTCCAACGCATCTCTCTGTTGAATTATGGCTGCATTCTTGTTCATCTTTTCAATGCGGCCAAGAATTCTCTCTATTTTCCTTTTCCTGTATCTTAGGCTACCAAAAGTGGTTTGGCTCCATTTCTTTAGAGATCCCTCGCAGTCTCTGATTCTATCCATCACTGATCCATTTCTTGCTTTTTTCCATCCCTCCTCGACCACCCTTTTGATCTCCTGATGGTTTTGCCAATATGCCTCATATCGAAAGGAGGTTCCCCATTGTATTTCAGGCTCATTCAGTTGGGTAGCCAGAAACAGGGGGTTGTGGTCTGAACCACATCGATTCAGATGATAAACCCTCGCTTCTGGATACATGTTCACCCACTCTTCTGTAGCCACCATACGGTCTAATCTTTCCTCCAAGAATGTGTCATCCTTGTGATTATTATCCCAAGTAAACCTTCTTCCATAAAAACCCAAATCTTCCAACCTGCACTCTTCCAGGGCTCTATTAAACCCCTCCATCTCTTTCTCTGCCGCTTCGAACTTCCCATTTTTCTCTGAGTAGCATTGGACAAGGTTAAAATCCCCTGTCATCAGCCAGGGTAGATCCACCAAGTCCTTAAGTTGTGTAATTAAGTGCCAGGTTCGATGTTTATTCCTCTGCTCAGGCCATCCATACAGCCCCGTTAGTCTCCACTCCTTTCCCCCTTCCTTGATTTTCATATCTATGTGATTATCTGATGAACCTTTAATCTCTAGATGGACCTCTGGTTGCCACAACACCATCAGCCCTCCTGATCTCCCATTCGAACCTACCCCAAATCCATTGCTCCAGCCCAGTTTGACCATTGTCTCCTTCCACTCATGTTGCATTCTTTTTGTCTCCATTAAGAAGACTATGTGAGGATTTTGTTTTTGAAGTAAAGACTTCACTTTCTTAATTGCCGAGGGGTTCCCCAACCCTCGACAATTGTAGCTTAACACGTTCATTGGGCTCGGCGGCTCTGTTCCTCGACAGAGTCCGCCTTGTCGCCATCCACCTTTTGTTGAGACCCACTCTTTGTTACCTCCACCTCCCTTGTAAAGTTTAACACCTTTGCTTTCTTAGGATTCATCGGTTCATCCACTTCCATTGCCTTCTCTTCCTCCTGCATGTCTTTACTTCTCTTTTGCGGAGTGACCTTTATTCCTCCGGGCAGCCTCACTTTTTTCTGTTCTTGCCTCCTCCACACATTTGGGATAGGCCTCTTTGTATTGAATTCTACCTCACTTCTCATAGTGAATTTCTGTAGAGCTCCCACTTTCCCGTGATTTTCCTCTATCCCTTGCTCCTTAGCTAGAGCTTCCTGTTCAGTCTGGTTTACCTGTTCTGTGTGTACCTTTTCTTGTACCTCCTTCTCATTTCTGGTGGCTGTCTGCTCCACCTCCATGGCTGTATCCTCTTTCCTCGCTAAGCTACTATCATGGTTGTCCTTTGCCTGTCCCTTGCCCACGTCTTGGCTGTCAAAATTAGAGCCTGTGCATTCAAGCTCGAATTTCTTTGTAAGCATCTCCCAGATTTCAGCATCTTCTTTCTTTGCCATAGTCGACTTCCAAATTCTAGGCCCAGGTGGCCCTGTTCGCATGTCCAGACCAAAGGGATCACCCCCCAACCCTGATGGTTTAGGGCATTTGAGCTTAGCATGCCCAATCCTCCCACACGAATGGCAAAACATTGGGAGTTTTTCATATTTTACCCCATACTCCACCAATTCTCCTCCAATATTTAGCTTCAGTTTCTTCTTCAAAGGGTTCTTAATAGAGAGATTAACCCTAATCCGGAGATAATCGTCCCACATTGTCCCTGTACTATTGTCGAACCAGACTAAATTCCCAAATCTCGTTGCAATTTTCTCCGCCATCTTCTGAGTTCTGAGTTCTGCTGGAAAGCCTTGAACCTGAACCCATAGATCAATCATGTGCAGGTCTTCAGGTACTGGTTTCTTGATCAAGAAGCTAGAAGCAAACACCATGATATTATTATCATAATGCCATGGTCCTCCATAACATGCCTTGTTCCTGTCGTCCATATCCAGGAACTGAAAAGCGAAGAGCTTATCTCCCAGGTCAGTTATTTGAAAACTTTTCTTTGTGTTCCAAGCTTTTGTAAGCGCGATCTTCAGTGACTTAATATTCGGTTGTTTTTCAGCTACCAATCTACCAAACAGCCCCAGCCTCCTGAATGCTTCCATCCTGACGACGTCGACATCAGTATCTTCTACCACCAGTGGTTCCTCATCATCATCCTCAATATTGAACTTATCCATCTGATCCAGCAAGTCACCCTCTGTATTGGGCGGAGCTGAGTCCGTTGTAGGGGAAGTCAAGGAATCCCCCTTCTCAACACTCTCCTCCATTGAAGCAATTTTGTTTGACCGAAAAACCCTAAAAGTTTCGCACTGTAACTCAATACTCAAGCTCTCCCAGATCTCTCTAGACTTGTGTCCGTCCTTGCTATTGCCAGCCTTGTGTTCCCTAAATATTGATTCTCGCAGACCTCACGACCAAAGCCTTGTCACTTTCGAAATCGAAAACCTAATCTTTCTCGGAAACCCTAGGGTTCCGCCGCTATGCCACTCTCGCTGAACGAGAGAAAAAGTTATTTTAGAGAATTATAGTTAATTTAAAAGCTATCCTGATTTTATCTATTAACATATTTATGCACGTTTTTTTCTCTTCCATCGTTTTAGTGTCGCGATTCTCGTCGGGAGGAGCAACTTCTCGGCGTCTTCCTTTCATCGTTCCAGCGATGCACATGCAGTCCTTCCTTCCCGCTTCTCCGTCCGGCTGTAGCGCTGTGAATCTTATCCAACCCGAAGCTTCCCAATTTTTTTGCTTCTTTAATTATTTTTTTTGTTTATCATTTTTATTATTAGAAAGTAAACAAAATTCAAAAAAATTTTAAAAAAATTTATTCCCTGATAGTTGACGTGGTAAGTGAGGTGGACCTTGACTAACGGTCAACTCGGTTGACCGTCTAATTTCACGGTCAAAGCCGCCTTCGAGCCAAATAAGGAAGTATGCTACATAGTTTAGGCCAAAATAGCAATTTCCGATATCACGGGCCAATGTAGAAAGTTTGTCTATAATTCGGGCCAAACTAAAGTATTAACCCTATACTAAAACTATACAAAGTATACAGGAAAAAATCCCAAAATACACATGTTTTTAAAAAAAATTCCCAAAATACACACGTTATAAAAAAATTTCTCAAAATACACATGTTTGGGCATCACCGCTGTTGTCAACCGCAGTGAATGCATTCATCGCGGCAGACCAAAGCGGTGAATGCATCACCGCGGTTGACGACCGCAGTGAATGCCTGACGTAACACTGAAACTTCAAACAAACGTAACTTTGCGCTCGGTTATCCGATTGTAGCGAATTTTTTTTGATTCCACATAACTTTTCAAGATCTTTCAATCTGAAAAAAGACTTCATCCCCAAAAAAAATCATTTGCTACCCCGAATGAGCAATTTTTTAATTTTAACAAACTTTGGAAGATCATAACTTTGTACTCCACAATTCCAATGTCATGAAACTGTTTTTTATTTTGCATAACTTTTGAAGAATAACCTGGGCGGCAATGCTAACAATAAAAAAACTAACAATAAAAAGAATACTAACAATAAAAAAACTTGTATTACAAACACTACTTTCTCTCTCTAGTATTTCTCTCCCTACACAACCTGGGCGGCAATGCTCCTCTCTCCAATGGGAAGGGATGCGGCGGAAACCCGCATGAATTCTCAAATTGATTAACAATTGAAAAATAGAAAATATGCAATTACTATCCGGACCTGCCTCTCATTAAATGAAATTAATTAGAAATATTAGATCTAAAGTAGAAGAAAAAAAAAATCCTGCGAATCAAGATATAAAATCTCTCTGATTATGAGAGATTTGATATCCGTATATTTTAAAGCTAAAATCCACAATACAAAAAACAACAAAACAACATAACTTTCTACAAAATCTATGGATTCAATGAATCCACGCCTTAAATCCCGTTCTCTAAACGACTCCTAAATTGAAATGAAGAAATGTGATACACTTAGTCACCTGATCCCAACCCCGGATAAGGGTTCCCAATCATAAAAAAAACTATTACGTAATTCATTTTTACTAATTCACACACTACGTAAAACTTATGGAGATATCTTACTTGAAATTTGTGCTATAAACTCGGCGTATATTAAAGTACCAACTCCTAAATGTCATGAAATTGCAGTATTTTGTGCTTGTCATTTTTAGGAACAGAGTATGTGAGGAATGTAAGCTGTGAATTACCTTTAGCGATTCCTTGCTCGCCAAGGCCCCAGCGGTGGAGAGCTAGAATGCAAGCCAACGTAGAGGAGAGAGCATCCTTGGTTAAAAATGGATGACGATGAAGAAGAGGGAGACCCCAAGATCCATCACTGAGCTGGTTCTCCAGTATCCATTTCCCACATTGAGGGAAGAAAGGAGAATCTTCTTCCATGGATGAAGTAGTAGTAGGAGCTGGAACCATGGCCATCCAGGCAGTGTCGTATGCTGACACCGAGATACGAGCCTCATCGAACATCTTCTTGATTTGTTGTACTCTCGTCGCCGTCGAGCCATCGCAGCTCTGTAAGACACGAGAGCAACACGTGCACATCTTGTGTGATCAATGCAGTCAAAAAATTCGCGCTTTAATACTTAAAATAAAAAAATCTACACTTTTACACTTCCAGGTAACCAGAACGCGCACTTCTATATAGAATCATGTTTTTTTGTTAGAGACTGGTATAAGATCCAGCATAACCTTCTTCCAACAACTCGAGTTATTGGGAGCAACTGGTTCTTTACATGGTATTAGAGTTTGTTAGGCCAAATGGTCGTGTGTTCGAATCTCCACTACCCCAATATTAGCAGTTTATTAAAGCACAAGGTATGGTAACGAGATTAAAGAGCAGAAGAATGGGAAAAGAGACCAAGTTGGTGTTGCTGAGCTCTGTGGCAGTCAGTGATACAGATTCTCTACGTTTTGCTGCAGAAGGAGGAAACGAAGGGGTGCAAGAAATGGGAGCAGAGTGTTTCTGCAAGCAAGCAAAAACCATCGCCACTCCTTGGTGCTGAAGATGGTAAGAAGAAGAAAAAAAAACAGAGACTTTAATTTGTAAGGTGGGATAGAGAGAGTGAGAGTGTTGGCGTCTCCACTTTTCTTCCTCTCGCCACTTTCAATATAGAAGGTTTGCCTCAACGGAATCAAGCTGGGGGGATGATGCCATGGCGGCTGCTTTGGCTAACCGACGAACTCTGTTTTTGTTGACTTTAGCCTGCAACTTGGACATAAATAGCTTAAGCAGGTACCAACTTGACTCCTCTGCTGCACCAAAACAGGCTAAGAAGCTACCCTGTAACCACCAATCATGATCTGCAGCAACTGCTGACAAATAACCTACGACCCAAGTCTGTAGCAAGTTGAAATTAAACCTTTGCTTGACCCATAAGTAAGTAATATATGACGATCAGACTCTAACACTGCATTAAAACGTCAGCTCTGCTACTTAAACACCCACATGGGTTACTTATTGACAAACAAAGCTATGGCAATTGCATAATTATTTATTAGGGTTAGTAGGATTCGAGTTGTTAGTTATCAGACTTATTCAATCAATGCGTAATCACAAAAACTCGCCTGTTAGAATCATAGAAATAGGTTTCTATTAATTGGTGTAAGAGTCTAGTTGCGAGTAGGGATGGCAATGGGGTAGGTTTTCCTAGACCATTCGCTTTCAAATATCCAAACTCGTACCTGCCCAATAGTCATGTGAGGCAAGGTTTTGAAAACTCATCCCATACCCGTGGGTTTCGGGTACCCATGAGTAATACCCGCTCCATACATCGAACATTATATAATATCTAAAAGTTTGTATGTAAATTCTTGCACCTACTATATTATGAAGTCGACAAAGAGACAACCATTTTTTATATGGTTCAAAACATTTTATCCTAAACATCCATTAATCCATAAGATAGAGTACAATGTAATTCAAATAATTATTCTATGACTCTAACACATCTACTAAGTAGTAACAAACTAAAAATCTTGTTAACACGAGAGAAAAGTGAAACAGTGAAGGGAGAATTGAGGAAAATGAATTAGGTTTTGATTTGGTTGACCACTCAATTGCATTTCTATTATATTTTTTAGTTACCCTCATTATCATTGATAGGTTACAATTAGATCCATTTTTTTTATATGTGAAGAGATGGTCTTGGTGGGTCGGGTATGAGTATGGATATGGGGTGGAGGTGGCTAAAATCATACACACTCATGCCTAGTCAATGCGAGGATTTACTGCGTTGAGTGGGTCGGGGGCAGTCGGGTACCCGCGACCATGGGTTTGATTGCCAAATTAAAACCTAATTCATTTCCTTCAATTCTCCTTCATTCTTTCACTTTCCCCTCTTGTTAACAAGATAATTATGTTAGTTAATTATTACTTAGTAGACGTATAAGAATTAGAGAATAATGATTTGGAAAAAATTGTACTATATCTTATAGATTAATGGATGTCTTAGAATCATATAACTTGAATCGTATTAAGAATGCTTGTATTTTTGTTGACTTCATGATATATTAGGTTCGTAAGGAATAGTGGTTTAGGTGTTTGACTTCTTGTGCTATTAATTAATTAATAATTTCTAATAGACGATTCTGATTCACCAAAATAATCCAACAACCAGATCACCTAGAGTACAATGTACTTTAGGAATATGCCAATTATTATCACATATATATATGAGGTTTATCAGTTAAGGGTTGGGGTGTAAGCATTATATCTCAAACTTAGTTTATTTCATGATCAAGATAGATATATCACTCGAGTATTTGAAGTATATTATATTCCAGCAGTATAACAGTTTAACCCATATATGGTAACAACTAGCGTACTCTATAATATACAGTACTCCAAATGATCTTTCGTTGGATATACTTTGTTGTACTTGGACAAATCAGAATCGTCCATTACTCTTTAATAAATTGGTTTTCGGACGACGTCTGTGACCGTTCGTGGCTACTCGACGGTGGAGTGTTCATGGTAGCCCTATATGCGTTTCCGCTCTGATATCATATGAAATTTATAGGGAAATAGAATTGGACCCAACCGAGTACTTTCGACCTTCTAGAGGACTCAGACAGGGGGATCCTCTCTCCCCTCTACTTTTCGCGATATGCTCAGAAGGATTCTCTGGCCTGTTGAGTCAGGCCGTTTCTATGGGCTTCTTGGAAGGAGTGCGAATCCGACCTTCATGCCCGATGGTTTCCCATCTATTCTTTGCAGATGACTCCTTTTTGTTCCTCAAAGCCTCGTCTTCTTCATGTACAACTCTGATTTCTCTTCTGCAAGTGTATGAAGGGCTAAGTGGAAAAAGGGTCAATCTGGCCAAATCTGCAGTAATGTTCAGTCGGAATACCCTTCCAGATGCTGCACAATCAATGGGAACACAACTGGGGGTTGGTAGTATCGGAGAGCAAGACTCATACCTTGGGTTACCTTCCGTCTTAGGAAGGTCTAAGAGAGATGCCTTTCTATTCATTGAGGAGAAGTTCCGCCAGAAACTTGATGCTTGGAAGCAAAGGGCTCTATCCAAAGCAGCCAAGGATACGCTTATGAGAACATCTGCGACTAACTTACCTGTCCATGGTATGTCATGTTTTAAATTTCCTAAAGAAACCTGTCGTTGGTTGAACGTACAAGTAGCCAGGTTTTGGTGGGGCTCCTCTACAAATTCTGAACACCCTATTCATTGGGTCTCGTGGAGGGGAATAACTCAAAGTAAATTCCATGGCGGTTTGGGATTTAGGGACTTTCAGGCGTTTAATCAAGCGCTCTTGGCGAAACAATGTTGGCGTATTTGGACTAATCAAGAATCTCTGTTAGGCCAGATCTATAAAGGTCGCTACTTTAGCTCTTCATCCATTCTAGAGGCTCGGGTGGGGTCCAACCCATCATGGGGATGGCGAAGTCTACTTTATGGGCGGGAGCTTCTCCTTCAGGGATTACGTTGGCAAGTAAGAGATGGCCATGGTATCAACGCTTTCTATGACCTATGGATCCCAGCTCTAAAGCCAGAAAGCCCTGTAGGTTGGGTAACATTATCTCTGCTCCGCAAGTGTCCTTTTTTTTATAAGAGAGGGTATGGGGGAATGGCATGTGCCGCGCCTGCACTATTGTGTTGCCGCCCAATCAGTTGACCTTATTTGCAAGATGGCTCTTCCGCGGAATGCTCAACCAGATACCAAAATATGGCACTTCACAAAAAATGGTAAATATTCAGTTAAGACAGGATATCACTTGGCTTTAGAAGGTATATTGATTCCAAATAGAAAATCATTGGCTCATATTATTGATACTCCCATTTGGAAAAAGACGTGGGTCATCGAGACTCATCCAAAACTCAGATTCTTCATCTGGTGTCTCAAAGTGGTCCTACCTACAACAGTGGCTCTCAAATCCCGCGGGGTTAACTGTCTCAGTCGTTGCCCTGTTTGTTGGAGGTTCCAAGAAAGTATAGAACATTTGTTTTTTAGTTGCCCCCTTACCATCCAACTTTGGTATTTTGTGGGATGAAGTGATTTACCGAACTCGGCCCCAAGAAGAAATTTTAGTTTGTGGTGGCGTCAAATTATGCTAGATGAGCAGTCCCAAACCCATATTCTCCAGATAGTGTGCCTCTTGTGGAGAATATGGAAATCAAGAAATAAAGTGGTATTTGAAAATACCCAGCCTCATGTCCGTTCGTTAGCCCGCCAATTCTCTTTCCAAATCCGCGAGGTTCTCTCTGCCCAGCCTGACTCGTCTCCCCTTCCTCGTGCTCCTACCTCTGCTAGACCTCTTCTTTGGGATTGCCCGCCTCAAGACTTTTTGAAGATCAACTTTGATGCTGCTCTCCAAAGTGCTGGCTCCTCGTCTGGCCTGGTTGTCCGCGGCTCGGATGGGCATGTGCTTCTTGCCGTGGGTGCTCAGCATTATGGTATCTCGGATCCTTATCTTGCAGAACTCCTTGCAGCCAGGGATGCAATCTCTCTCGCAACTTCTAGAAGTTTGTCTCCGGTCACCATCGAAGACGATGCAAAAGAGGTCATCCGTCAGCTCAAGCTTCGATTGGTAGAGGATTCGATTGGTGGCCCCATTCTTCGAGATTGTTGTTATCTTCTTGAGTTTTGTTCTCTTTGTAAAGAATTTAGGACAGTTCCGCGGACTGTCAACTGGGCTACTCATAGAGTGGCACGTAAAGCCCTGCTGCTGTCCCGGTTAAAGTTAGTTTCTTTTAATTTTGTTGGTTGGCTTGTTAGTGGGATGGGAAGGGATTGTGGGATGGGAAAAAAAAACCCAGACTTTCTGCAGGGTCTGCTGTTCCTTTTATATCTGGCGGCTAATTCAAATTAGCCTGATAGCCCACGTGTCAACATATGATTGCACGATTACAAACTTAAACCGTGTTTAGCCTACGACTAACCCAAACATAAATGAAACGGCGTAGCATAGGTGTTTGTTCGTAAAAGAAAGACAGACAACTCGAAACGTTTCACTCTTGAAACTCCTTCGTTCTTCAGCTCTGCAATCCTTGCTACATCTGGATTGTCTTCTTCAACTGCTGGATAGTAAAAGCTGCTGGCAATTTCGCTCTCTCTTCTCTGTTCCTCCAATTCTGAGCAGCGACTCTTTCAACATAACTCGAATCCACCAAACTTCTACTCCGATCAGGCGAGGCAGTTACAAGAAACGCAGATGGGTTCATCAACGATGGAGTTAGCTAGATTCACGAGTCTCTCTTTAGTGAATCCATCATCCTTCAGGTAGAAAAGGAGAAGCACCTTTGTCACGTCCCAAAACACTTGCTTGCAGCAATTTGGTATTCCTTCCTTCTCCTTCTCCAAAAACACCAACTTCAACACTTGCTTCCTCTCCCTCTCGATTGCTCTCTTCACCTCTTCCACCGCATCGTCCATACTGCGGTCCCCTTCATGCAGCAGCAGCAGCGACATTGCGTTTATCGTCCCTTCATCGAACTCCCTCTGCAGAAAACCATAGCAAAACCCACTCTGAAACCTTCCCCCCAAACCCACAACACTTGCTCTGAGCAATGCATAGAAATGTAGAGAGAAATTTGTCACCTGAAATCCGCTCCAGTCATTGAGAAAGCGCCCACAAGTGCTCATCCCTTCATACAGATTCTTATACTCTGGACTACTCACCATCTCCTCGGAGAGTTTTGGCCCTAGTAAGTAAAGAGATGGAAGAACAGTTGGCCCTAATGCTAATGTCACGTGTGCGTGCTTCATATATTCCTCCATTGTTGGCACCAACTTGTTCCTCGACCATTCTGCTTCTTTCAACATTGACTTCAACAATTGAACCCACTGTCACAAATAGTTAACATTACCAAATCGAAAAAATAAAAATGAGATCCCTACACAATGTCAACTAAGAGATATATTTGATGGGTGACATAGCGTGCTTGCCATGCCAATGCCGTGTCTCCAATCTCGTGAATGGTTCTTCGGATCGCTGTGAAAAGGATCTCAACTTGCTCAGAACAGAAATATGTGCTTCCATCCACTTCCCAGCTGAGATTCATTTCAACAACATTAAGTTGAAACTGAAGATAGAGAAGAAGAACGATAAGCAGCACTAAGAACAGCATAATGGAAGGTAACGTACTTCTCAATCAACTGAACAAGGGTTACTAATTCTTCCATCGAACCTTCAACATCGAAAAAGTCATCCACATACGTTACAAGCGTGCAGTTTTTGGCCCACGAGATGCGAGCATCAGATAGTTCAGGTGCATAGAGAGTTGCAGCAACTGCAAAGTGGCAATGGCCAAGCTTCTGCCTCGCAAATGATAGCTTGTCGAGCTTATTCTCAATAACCCACCTGTATACGAGAAGCCATAGGCGACAAATTTAAGTTTCCTGCAGGATATTAAAGTTGCAGACCTAGGAAAGAATAGTAAACCTACGTCTGACTCATAAAACAAAAAAGAGAATAGCTAACCACTTCCTAACACCTCTCTAGAAGAACTTGGAAGGATACATAAAGAAAGATTTAAAAATAGGATAACAGAATCATAAATTTCAGTATGTATCATGTTCTATGGTAAACCTTTCAAAAACCATGCAAAACAGCAAACAGAAGAAGGAAAGTATGCAAGAAACGCACCTTCCTAGTTGCTTGAGTTCTTTCTGCTGTATCGACTGGCAGAGGTTGAAATCTTCGGCTGCCAGTTCAAGAAAATCTTTGTTCCTAATGTTTGGACAACTAGTATTGCAACCAGAACCAAAAGGAGGTAAAGCACAGTGAGCAGAAGTAACATTCTTCAAGTGGCTACTTCAGATTGAGGAAAAAGGAACGAGGTGTACCAATAGGAGGTCTTCAAGGTCCAAGTGTTATCTATATTACTATGCTGGTCAATACTTCTCCTATGGCCTAAGCGATCCAAATCAACATGATAGGAGTATGTGAGAGCATCATGCACCTGAAATGAGGAAGGGACCAAGTTGGTGTTGCTGAACTCTGTAGCAGCCAGTGATCCAGATTCTCTACATTTTGCTGCAGAAGGAGAGCAGCCGAGGGAGAAGTGGGAAGTTGAGTCAAGTTGGTTAATTTTGTTTCAAACAAACGAGTATCATTGAGGTAAATAGAAGAGGAAGGGAGCTGAACCTGGAATTGCACCAGAAACAAGAGGAAACACAGGGGTGCAAGACATTGGAGCAGAGTGTTTCTGCAAGCAAGCAAAAGCCATCGCTGCGCCTTGGTGCTGCGGAACTGTTGAAGATGGTCAAAACTCAAAACAGAGGGAGAAACAGAGATTTCGTAAGGTGGGAAAGAGAATGAGGGTGTTGGTGTCTCCACTTGTCTCCCTCCCCTCCTTTTAATACAAGGTTCGCCTCAACGGAATAAAGCTGAGGGATGATGCCCTGCCTGCTGCTTTGGCTAATAGACACATTCCGTTGTTGTTGACGTTAGCCCGCAACTTTATCTAATATTATTGAATGGAAATAAATAACTTAAGCAGGTACTAACTTGATTCCTCTGCTGCACGAAAACAGGCTAAGAAGCTGATCCTGTAACCACCAATAATGTTCTGCAGCAACTACTGACAAACAACCTAGTACCCCAGCCTGCAGCAAGTTTAAATAAAACTGTTGCTTGACCCAGAAGTAACTAATATAATGATTAACACTCTACACTGCATTAGTTATTTATTGACAAGCAGAGCCTCCTTTAAACTGGAAAACAAAAGTTTCAGATTAAAAGAAACTCTCACAGCAAACACACTCACACAACAACCTTGTTGTTCTTTAAATTTCAGCAGCACCAGACTTCAGCACTAGCTCCACCAGAATACTCAATCAGTTTGCACTTTCCCAGCTTCTCAAATTCCTCCAACTGTACTGTCTTGGTCATAATATCAGCTAGCGGATCATGTGTTCCTAAGACTCCATCTGAACCACTCCTTTCTTTGTTACATTCCCGATAAAATGAAATCCGACATCGATATGTTTACTCCTCCCATGCAGAACAAGATTCTTAGCTAACAGTAGCTTAATGGTTGAACTATTATCAGTTAGAATGCTAGTTCCATCCTCTATACTTTCCTGTCGGTTCATTTCCTCCAAAATCATTCTTAACCAGATACAAAGTGCGCCACAACAGGCTGCGACAAGAAATTCAGCTTCTATGGTGGACAAACTGACTACTGGCTGCTGCTCTAAAGCTAAAGATATTGTTTCACAGTTTCACCTGCCAAAATGAACACATATTCGCTAGTGCTTTTCCTGTCATCCGTGCCACCAGAATAATCATTGTTTGTGTATCCTGCTATGTTCTCTCTGCAATCCCTTCCCATACCAGATTTCATACTCAACAGTCCCTTTCAAGTATCTCAGTACCCACTTTGCAGCTTGAAGATGACTGCTAGTTGGTGTCTCCATTTAGCTACTCAACTAGCATATTGAGAACATGATATCAGGTCTCGTTGCAGTAAGATACAACAGACTTTCTATCAGCTGCTTGTACTGTGTAGCATCAACAAGAAGACCATCTCCCTGCAAGTGTCAACCGAGCTCCTGGTACAAAGATGTTCATGGCTGATTTACTTTTCATACGGGAGAACCTTTCAAGAATCTCCTTGGTGTATTTTTGCTGACAGATGAATACTCAAACCCTTGAAGCATTTCAACACTTAAGTGCCCCACTTTCCTCAAGTCAGTCATTTCAAATTCAGTCTATATATACTGTTTAAACGCCAGAACCATCGGTTCACTACTCCTAGTATACATAAGATCAGGCTAGCTAGCACACAACATTGGCACCATGAGAGTAATCACCTTTTTTTATGAAATGCTATCAGAAGCAATCACTAAAGATGACGTGGGTGCATTGCATATATCATTACCCCTTAAGGAAAAAGGTGGATGGGTTCATTAACTATGGATTTGGCTACATTAACGATTTCCTCATTAGTGAATCCATCGTCCTTCAGGTAAAAAAGGTGAAGAACCTTTGTCATGTTCCAAAATAATTGCTTGCAGCATTTTGGCATTCCCTGCTCCCTCTCCAACAACACCAACTTCAACAATTGCTTCCTCTCCCTCTCGATTGCTCCTTTCACCTCTTCCGCGGCATCGTCCAAGGTCCGGTCGCCTTCAAGCAACAGCAGCGCCACTGCATTCACCTTCCCTTGCTCAAACTCCCTCTGCAGAAACCACAGTAAACCCAGTCTGAGACCATCCCCCAAACCCACAATACTTGCCTCTGAGTTACAAATAGAGATGTAGAGAGAATTTTTTGTCACCTGACATCCTCTCCAGTCATTGAGCAGGCGCCCACAAGTGCTCATCCCTTCATACAGATTATTATACTCTGGACTACTCACCATTTCCTCCGAGAGTTTTGGCCCTACTAAGTAAAGAGCTGGAAGAACAATTGGCCCTAATGCGAATGATATGCGTGCGTTCTTCATATATTCCTCCATTGTTGGCACCCACTTGTTCCTTGCCCATTCTGCTTCTTTCAACATTGACTTCACCAATTCCACCCACTGTTAAAATAGTAAAAATAAACAAAAGGTAAAAGTAAAGATTAGATCCCGAACCATGTCAAAGTATATACCCATATACTACCCTGTCCCTGGAAATTTTGTTCAGTCATGATGAACCGAAAGATGGTCTCACTAAGCTTGATGTTCAAGTAAGCGATCACCCAACATAAGAGATGTATTTGACAATGAGGAATCCTAGTGGATCAGTGTAACTGAGAAAGTAAAGGAAATGAAAGAGCTTTTCAACTGACAATGTCATTTATATGACGGGTGACATCACGTCCTTGCCGTGCCAATGCCATGCTTCCAATCTCATGAATGGAGCCTCGAATCGCTGTGAAAAGGATCTCAACTTGCTCAGAACAGAAATATGTGCTTCCGTCCACTTTCCACCTGCGATTCATTTCAGCAACGTTTAGCTGAAACTGCAGATAGAGGAGAAGAACGATAAGCAGCACTAAGAACAACATAATTGAAGGTAACGTACTTCTCAAGTAACTGAACAAGGTTTACTAATTCTTCCATGGAACCTCCAACATCGAAAAAGTCATCCACAACTGTTGTAAGCACGCCGTTTTTGGCCCATGAGATACGGGCATCAGATAGTTCAGGTGCATAGAGAGTTGTGGCAGCTGAAAAGTAGCAATAGCCCAGCTTCTGCCTCGCAAATGATAGTTTGTCCAACTTATTCTCAATTATCCACCTGTATACATGAAGCCAGAGTTCTTAATAATGATAGATGACAAGCAACCTTTTAGCCATGGTTGACAAATTTAAGTTCCTTGAGGATGTTAAAGTTGAACCTCTAAGAAAGAATAGCTAACCATATCCTAACACGTCTCTAGAAGAACTGGGCAGGATACAGAAAGAAAGATTTTAAAAATAGGATAACACAATCATACATTTGAGTATGTATCATGTTCTATGATAAACCTCTAAAAAACCATGCAAACTAGCAAACAACAGAAGAAGGAAAGTACCCAAGAATCCCACCTTCCTAGTTGCTTGAGTTCTTTCTGCTGTATCAATTGGCAGAGGTTGAAGTCTTCAGCTGCCAGTTTAATAAAATCTGTGTTCCCAATGTTTGGACAACTAGTATTTGCAACCAGAACAAAAAAGAGACCAAGAACAGTGAGCAGATGTAAAATTCTGCTAGTGGTACTTCAGATTGAAGAAAAAGGAACGAGGTGTACCTATAGGAGGTCTTCAAGGTCCAAGTGTTATCTATATTACTATACTGGTGAATACTTCTCTTATGGCCTAAGCGATCCAAATCAACATGGTAAGGATATGTGAGAGCATCATGCACCTGAAATGAGATGAAAGGTAGCTTAGATAGAGTTTGATTCCAGCATTGAAAATTGATTCCTTCTACCGTGCTTTCTGGGTTTGCTCCAGAAACAGAAGACAAAAAAAGACAAAAAGGAGCAATACTCTGAAGGGGACTTCTATCCTTCTATTTTAATCATATATTCCATGGAAGAACTTTTTTTCCCAGAAATAACAGTTGCTACTGAACTCTAATCTTTCATCAAGCACTGCTCCTAAGTACATCATACCTTGATACTTTCACCAGGCTGGTCCACATAAATTGAGCCATTGCAAAATTCCTGTTTCAGGAAGTCCATGGTCCAAGAACTTAGTTCATCCAGGATAGGTTCTTCTGGATAAATTATTTGTGAAGCTTTGTGTAACTCCAGTACAGCTGTCTTGTCGTTCAAGTATCCTTCCAGTGAATTGAAGAAACAATCTTCTGAGAATGGAGATAGCTGATCTGCAGATAATATTATGACAGCTAGTTAGACAGTTAAAAATTCAACATCATTTTATGAGCAGAACATCATTTCATGCATCTGAACAACATACCTGAAGAGACATCATATCCATAAACACGCAACAATCTAAAAGCCATGGCACAAGTGGTTGTATCCAGAAAAATCTCTTCATCCCCCTGCAACCAGCATCTGTTTAAATGATAGGTGTGTCATGATTTCACTAAATAATTCACATATTACAACACTAGAGCTAAGCTAAATCCAACGAGGTTGTGCTTAAAGGAATCTCGACTATGTCGAGTCCCATTCAAGAAGTAAATTGCTTACCTGTATATCTGGTCCAGCAACATCTTCATTTCATTGGTGAAGTGGCGAGCAACTCCCAGACTATCAAGAGTGTCAATGATCAGAAGGCGGCTGCGTATGTCCAGTGGATATATTGTTGGAGCTAATAAGGACATACGTAAGAGTGGCCTTCAGTAGATGTTGGAAAACAAGTTGGGGGCAATGATTTTAGAGTACTGTAGTTAAGGACAGACCAGCATTCTCGAATTTGTCTAAGAGGACACAAAGATAGCGAAGGCAATCAGGATCTCGAAGATGAGAAAAAGCAACCGCAGTAGTCGAAGGTGAATTGAACAGGGATCCGTTTTTCCTCTTATATTTCATGACCATGTCCCAGTCTTGTGAGTGTTGGATACCTTCTGAAACATATGCCATGTAGGCTCTTCTTCCCTCTGTGTTTCTACCGAACCCACTAATGTCAAAAGAGAGAATGAAATGAGAGAATGAAGGGAAACAATGCACACATAATCAGCATAAGAAATTAGGTGCGGGAGTATACCTTGTAAGCTCCACATTTCTCTTAGTTAGCATAGCATCTACATCAGTTGACTTGAAAGGGAGGTTCAAACCCAAATCTTTTGCATAGTCAATCATGCCCGTGAATATTATGTCAAACCCGATAGGCATATGCTGCTTCTGATCCGTTAGGGAAGCAGAATTGCAGTCTAGAAACTGGAGGCCTACAACAACAGCACAGCAACGAGTGTGCATAAACTTCACTAACGACATGAGTTGTGTAATCTTCAAATATAGGCTATAATGTTGCTATATGAGACCCTAACTACCTATCTAGTCAACTATTACAACTACAAGTGATTGATTATTATGCTTATGCTATAAACTTAGCATACTTTATTATAGTCCCAACTGGTGAACGTCATCCAATTGCAGTATTTTTATTTTTTACAAACAGTATTTTGGTTTTCACTGACATCATAGTATGAGATTTTATATACAATCTTCACGGAAATTTTGAAAAACTCAAATTATTACAGTTTTTTAACGTAAAGTCTCGATTTTGATTAACTCTGACGATCGTAAGTTGTGTATTATTACCTTTAGTGACTTGCTGTTCACCAAGGCCCCAACGTTGGAGAGCTAGAATGCAAGCCAAGGTAGAGGAGAGAGCATCCTTGGTTGAGGATGGATTACAACGAGCGAGACCCCAAGAGCCATCATTGAGTTGGTTGTCAAGTATCCATCTAGCACACTGAGGGAAGAGAGGAGAGTCTTCCATGGATGAAGTAGGAGTTGGAACCATGGCCATCCAGGCGGTGTCGTATGCAGACACTGAGAGATGAGCCTCATCAAACATCTTCTTTATCCGTTGTATTCTCATCGAGCCGTCACAGCTCTGCAACTGGAAGACAGATGAAGATTGATTTTGCAAATGCTATGCCTATGAGCACACAAGAAGGAAGAAATAATAACGAGATTAAGAACATAAAATAAGGAAGAAACCAAGTTGGTGTTGCTGAACTCTGTGGCAAGCAGTGGTGATCCAGATTCTCTACATTTCGCTGCAGAAGAGAGCAGCCGAGGGAGAAGTTGGAACTTGAGTTAACTTGGCTAATTCGTTCCAAACAAATGAAGAGGAAGAAACAAAGAGAAGAGAAGGAAGCTGAACCTGGAATAGCAGCAGGAACAAGAGGAAACACAGGGGTAGAAGACATGGGAGGTTGACTGCCTGCCAAGCAAACGAACATAACTTTTTTTTTTTTACAGGGAAGCAGAGTGTTTCCTTACTATTGCTTCACTATGCACCTATGCACCATGCTCCCTGTAACAAAAAGGGTTTCAGTTGTATAAGCAAAGAGAGACTCTTGGGTGGTCAAAAAACACAAATTGCAACAACCCAACACATTATCAGTCAAACCATTCCATCGAATTCCGCAACGATGATGTGGGTATTCAGAAAAACACCATACTGCCACAGATCACGTTCAAAGATGACAACTTGACGACTTCCAATCAGAATTCTGGGAAGAATAATAGACACACAGTAAGAAAAGGAAGGAAAGAGAGAAAAGGGTAGTACCCTTTTTACTGCGATGCGGAATTGCTGAAGGATGAGATCAGAGAGGGTGTTGGCGCAACTACAGCCTACACTTTCCTCCATTTCTCTCATTCTCCATACCCTTAAAAGCTTCGCCTCCACGGAATCAAGCTGGGGGATGATGCCCTTCCTCCTGTTTTACCTAGCCGACAAACTCCATTGTTTTTTTCAAATCGCATTCCTCCAGACAGACTCCTTTGTCGTTGGTTTCCGCTGCTGCGATTTCGGTCCAGTCCCGTTGGTTGGTTGGGTGGCCGGTTCCCCTCTCTAAAACAAAATTGGGAATAAAGACGCCTTTAGTCCACTCCCGATCCTCGGCCAAGCTACACGTCACTGAAGACCAAACCCACTCTGCCGTTTTGCTTGCTGACGATGAAACCCAAAACTGAAAGTAACCCCATTTTAATATTGGGTTTCCACAGCCGTCTCCGGATAGGATCGTAGGACGATTTTTTAAGGAAAAGGAAGCATCTTTCTGGATCCAATATTTAATTAGCTCGGATTAACTAAAAAAAGGATTAGTTTTTCGATTAACTTTCAGTTATTGAAATATAAACAGCAAAAGAACAAGAATATTCACTAGGGAATCACAGTCGTTGCCCGATTCGATGAGAGAATATTCCCCGGAACGGAACTTTCTTCCCTTCCCGGGATGTGTTATTTTGGGTTGCGGACAGTGATTTGGGTTTCTGGTGGCAATGGGTCGGGGACGGGCGAGCATCTCAATACTCATCTTCCATTCCAGGCTACTAGGGGGCGGGGCGGGGCGGGTAATATTCGTGTGGGTACGGGACGGGCCGGGTCAACTCACTCTTACATGTTATTTGGAAAAAATACAAGCATCTCAAGACTTCATGATTGAATAATGGTGATAATATAATGGGTAATTGAGTCTATTTAGTTGAAAAATCAAGTCTACCTAGTGGAAGAAAAAGCCAAAATAGGATATATATGAATGGATATCATAAGAAATTGACCTACAACAGGCTAAGAACGGGGCGGGACGGGGCAAGGCGGGTAGGAAGTTGATACACGTGCCCCGCCCCGCGCAACAGGGGATCAGGTAATATCTGTCCCATCACGGGTCAGGTCGGGTAATACCCGACGAAGCGAGTTCAAATTGTCATCACTAGTTTCTTTTGCTTTCCCCTACTAGGTAGGTCTTATTTGACTGGATTACCCCTTTCAGTTTCACTTAATAGTTAATTCATTATTCAATCACAGTTAATTTATATCGTTTCTACATATGGTGAATGATACTACTTAACAATACTATTTATATGTTTTTTTTCATAGATATACTGGATTTTTTATCATTAGCTCACTCGTATCACCGAGAATCAAAGTCAATGTCCTAAATAGAAATGTAAAATCAAACCCCAACAAGCTGGGGTCAAATATACTGGTTGGAACTGAGCATATACAAAATAATAGTGTTTTCAAACAATTCTCAAAAACAAAAAAGAAATAAAGACGGAGAGGCATGAGTCCATTGATAAGAGGGGTTTTTTTTATCGTGGGAAGCTCTTTGATACTTGTGCGGCCTCATGAAGTTTATGAATTTTGAATAAATATAGACTGAATTGATATTTGGACGGAATTGATACTTGGACCGAATCAATATGCACAAAATGAACTGATTGCCCGAATTTTGGTTCTCATATTTTTAGAACTACTGGATCACGAATCCCATTGTTTGCTTTTGTGCGTATTAGACTGGACCGTTGCACACTCCTAATCATGAGACCATATTGTTCTCCACCTCCCTTTTCACTGCACATGTGCTTTTGTCATTGTAACTGAGCATTGTATCTATATTCTATCGATAATAAAAGGGTGACCGGTGAGTGGTTTTATGCGGAGTTGTGTGGGTTTGGAACCAACCACTACGTGATGGATGCATGGGAAAGTAACTCACACGGTCACACCCACCCAAGCACATATTGTGAATGAGTTGGATGATTTTCAATGATAGATTGATAGGTGGTTGAGCAAGTTTGGTGGATTTACAATATAAATTCTAAATGATTACATAATTAAAATTGTCTTAAACTTAAAATGAAGAAATCTTCAAACTAAATAATGTTAAATCCATAATTCGGATGCATCACTAATTTACAATAATACTAATACTAATTATTCATAAAAAAATCAACTTATAAACATGGTCTAAGCCGAATAATAACAAAAAAAAAAACTTCAACATAAATGCAGTTAATTGTCCACGTCCTTAAGCTACAAACACTCACTAAACACTCATGAAGTCAAACAATAGAATAGCCAAACTAGAAAATAAACAAGTAGAAGTTAACAAGCAATAGTAGAAGACAGCGAACATATGATATAGGTAGATCAGTATTTGGGTTTGCCATCCCTGGTGGGACGCTCTAAATATGATACCTTTAGGTATATTGAGGAGCGAGTTATTCAACGCCTACAGGGGTGGAAGCAGCGATGCTTATCTTGGGCTGCTAAGGAAGTCCTTATTAAGTCTGTTGCTAATGCTTTGCCTATCTATGTAATGTCTTGCTTTCTTCTACCTCTATCACTGTGTCGTTTGCTGGATAGACATTTGGCTAGATTTTGGTGGGGAGTGAAACAGGGTGAGCGGCGGATTCATTGGGTTTCTTGGAAATCGTTGTGCTTAAGTAAACATGAAGGAGGTTTGGGTTTTAGGCGTTTTGAGGAGTTTAATCAGGCTCTGTTGGCAAAGGTGGCGTGGCGAATTTGGAAGGAGCCTAATTCTCTGTTAGCTCGGGTGTTTAAGGGTAAGTACTTTCCCAACTCCTCTATTCTGGTGGCCAAGACTGGATCTTTACCTTCTTGGGGCTGGCGGGGGGTGTTGCATGGACGTGATTTGCTGGTCCAAGGTTTGCGATGGCAAGTTGGCTCGGGTGAGTCGATAGATGTGCTAAAGGACAATTGGGTTCCAACGTTGCATCCATCTCCCCCGACGCCTCGTCCGGGGATCATTAGGGTCGAGGGGTCAGTTGCGTCTTTAATTTGCCCGAATCAAGGGGTTTGGAGGGTGGATTGCCTACGTCAGATCTTTGAGGAGGATACTGTCCGAGCTATTCTGGCTATTCCGTTGCCTATTTCGCCGGTGCCTGATCGTATGGTTTGGAATGGGGAGCAATCAGGTAGCTATACGGTCAAGTCTGGCTATCATTTAGCAGTGGAGCTAAGGAGGTATAAGGAGCTAAGGGTGAAGGCGAAAGTTCAGGTGTGGGATCGTGGTCTATGGAAAAGGGTTTGGGGGGCTCCCATACCTCCCAAGTTGCGGTATTTCGTATGGCAGATGGTTCGCGGTGTCTTGCCAACTGGTGAGGCACTGAGTACTCGGGGGGTAGGGGGGCTGGAGCCATGTCCAGTCTGCGGGGAGGAGGGGGAATCTCTTGAACATCTCTTCTTCCGTTGTCGAGTAGCGGTGGAATTGTGGGAAGGGGCGGGGCTGCTGGCCATTCGCGATCGCTTTCCCCTTTGCAATGTTGGGATCTTTTGGCGCAGGTTACTCGAGTGGCGGGAGCTTGATCAGGGGGCCATGATGCATGTTGTAGCACTTTTCTGGCGCATATGGAAGGCCCGTAACTGGGTGGTCTTTGAGTTGACTCAGTACATTGTGCCGGTCTTGTTATCTCAATTTCGTTTGCAGGTTGCAGAGTGGGATGGCATTTCTACCGGCCAAGGTGCTTGTCGTTACTCAGGGGGCTCAGGTATCAGAGGCCGTCAGGATGTTCCGTTGGGTGAGTTCGTCATGTTCGTGGATGGAGCTACGGCGCCTGGTTCACATGGAGCGGGAGGTTGGGCTCTTCAGGATCCCACAGGCATGGTGGTGGCAGCATCGGCAGCACTGTATGTGGGGATTTGGGAGCCGGCTCTTGTGGAGCTACTGGCCTTCCGGGATGCGCTTCGATGGTGCTTGGCGTTTGGTTTCCAATCGATGATTTTTGCAGGTGACGCCCAAGTGATCGTGGGGAAGATCCGGGAGGGTGAGGTAGATGATGTCCATGGAGGGATGCTGTTGGAGGAGATTCAAAGTATGCGTGACTTGTTCCAAGAGTTTCGGGTTATTTTTGTGGGTCGGGAGTCTAATAGGGTTGCCCATTTGGTGGCAAGAAAAGCCCTTTTGTTGTCCCCTTCTTTGGTGGGGTTCAATTTTGTTTCTTGGCTGTTTTCAGCTATGTGACTATTTTGTATCTGTCTGTTTTCTCGGTAATACGAGCGATCTTTTGGCAAAAAAAAAAAGAACATATGATATAGGTATCCCGCCATAAATATAAATTAGATTTTTCAATTATCATCAATAATCATAGTTTGAGAATATATTAATTCAAAGTTGGCTAGGAAGTAGGAACGATAACTAGAAATTTTACAATTTTCTTATTGATTTTTTTTTATATAGAAATTTTCTTATTGAAATTCGGATAATGTTTGATGATTTTTAGGATTTCATTTTAGCTAAAACTATTTCGGGCAATTGCGGCTAATCTATTCCCCTGCCAATTGATCCCGTTCCTGATCGCTTGGTCTGGATTGGGGAGGCTTCGGGTGTGTATTCCGTTAAGTCGGGGTACCACTTAGCTTCTCAATTGCGGCGAGAGAAGGAGTTGGTGAATGAGCAAGGGGTGGTTCCTTGGGACCGTGGATTATGGAAGAGGGTCTGGTTCGCATCCTTGCCTCCGAAATCGAAGTATTTCATATGGCAACTGGTGCGTCGGGTTTTGCCGACAGGGGAGGCACTCAGCGTGAGAGGGGTGGATGGTGTGTGGTGGGAATGTCCGGTGTGTGGGGAGGAGGAGGAGTCTCTTGAACACCTCTTCTTCCGCTGCAGGGTGGCTCAGGGGGGTCTGGGGAGGGACTGGTCTTGATGGGGTTCGAGAGAGTTTTCCCCAAGATCACATGGCAACTTTCTGGAGACGGTTCCTCGAACAGGATAATTTGGATTGTCAGGTTTTAATGCAGGTCGTGGCCCTGTTTTGGCGGATTTGGAAGGCGCGGAATTGGGTGGTGTTTGACTTTACTCTATACACCATACCTGTTTTGCTTTCTCAATTTCGTTTGCAGGTGGTGGAATGGGAGGTGGCGAATGAGGCTCATTAGGTCGTGGATGGTGGTGGTGGCATGACCGGCCATTCCGGGGTCTTAATCAGGTTCTCAGCCCTGGCCTTTGGGTGGTTCGGGTTGATGGGGTTGTGAGATACGGGTCTCATGGTGCTGGGGATTGGGTGTTACAGGATCCGTTGGGAAGAGTGGTGACTGCGGAGGCGAGGCTGTACGAGTTCATTGAGGATCCTTTCCTCGTGGAGCTGTTGGCTTTCCGGGATGCGATGTGATGGTGTCTTGCATGGGGCTTGACAACGATTCTTTTTGCGGGGGATGCTAAGGTCGTCATTGACAAGCTCTTGGCATGAATGACTGATGATACCCGTGGGGGGACGATTCTCGAGGAGATGATGGTGCTTCGTCAATCCTTTGTGCATTTCTCTTTCCAGTTTGTTGGTAGGCGTTGTAATAGGGTTGCCCATTTGGTGGCACAAAAAGCCCTTTCATTGTTCCCTTCTTTAGTTGGGTTCGATTTTGTTGCTTGGCTGTTTTCGGTCATTTGAACTCCTTTGTATCTGGCTGTTTTCTCGGTAATACGAGCGATCGTTTTGATAAAAAAAAAAAACTATATGTTAGAGACTTATTAGTTTGATGTTAACAAATTGGGTGGATAGTGAGATAGAAAATCTGTCCTCCCACTTTTTCATTAGGCCGAGTACATGAGCCCAACTGAAAGGCAGATAAGATCCAAATTAAAAAAGGCCACGGCCCAAACATCGTCATAATAAACCATACTCGCCTTGGCGCCTCCGGCCCAATATCTTCCCACCGAGTGCTACGATTGGCCGTTTTGCCTTCTGCGTTTGTCAGTTATAATCGTTTCTCTCTCCCGGGCCCCGGCTTTTCTCCGGCCATGGTATTGGTTCCCAATTCCCCTGTTTCTGACATTTATTACGATCCCTTGACTGCTTCTCCTCCTCGTAATAATTCCGCTAGAATTCTTCACGAAACCCCGCCGATAGCTTGCCTCCTCACCCAGCAATCCCATCCCCTTGAACTCCGTTCGATGGGTCGGGATAAAATCGAAGAAAAATTCGACCCAGTTTGGGAACTTTTGCTCAATCGCTACCAGGTGGCGGCATCCTCGGAAAGCCAGGGCACGCAATTGAAAGCTTCGATCGAGTTGACCCGTTACTCTGATCATGCGCCGGAGCATATCCTGGCTCGGGCGATACCAACTTTGGCCGGACTTCTTCTCAGTAACAATGGCTCGACCGATTCAGTGAAGGAAGCCGCCGTGTATTGCTTAAAGCGCATCGCTTTTCGAGGTGAAGGTTTCTTGGCTAGAGAGATTGGTAATTCTGGCGCTATCCCTTTTCTGTTGAGGTTGTTGCCTCTTTCCAATGATGGGTTTCAAAGGGTTGTGATTAAGTGTGTGTGGTGCCTCGTGAATTCCGCGGACGAAAATCGTGTTACTGTGGCTAGAAATGGTGGGTTGGAGATCATTTTGGGTATGCTGAATTCTTGTGTAGAAGATAGTGGAAACAAGAAGTGGGTCTATCTGCTGGAGATTTTTAGTGCGTTGGTATTGTTGAAAGAAGTCAGAAAGAGGCTTTCCGAGTTGAATGGGATTAGGTTCCTCATTGAATCGGCTAAGTGTGGTAGGATGAAATCCAGGGAGAGAGCTTGTCAGGCCATTGGATTGCTTGGTCGCTCGAGGCGTGCTCGGTGTATACTTGTCGATCTAGGAGCAATTCCTGTAGTCATTGAGTTGTTTAGGGATGGGAATGGTAAAACGAAAGTTACTGCTGGCAATTCTCTTGGCATCATATCATCACACATTAATTTCATTAGGAAGGCAGCTGAGGCTGGGGCGATACCACTGTATGCTGACCTGATTCAGGGACCTGACCCTATTGGTAAAGAGATTGCAGAGGATGCATTATGCATATTAGCCATTGCCGAGGAGAATGCGGTCGCCATTGCTGATCAGTTGGCCAGGATCTTGAGAGAAGGTGACGACGAATCGAAGGTTGCTGCCTCTTATGTCTTCTGCAATCTCGGCACTTATGAACCCTCTGCTTCGATTGTTAGAAACTCTGGTGCAATTTCTATTCTGGTTGGCCTTTTAAGACATGGAAATCTGGATGTTAAAGGGAGTGCCTCCGGGGTGATTTGTCAGCTTAGTTATGATCGGGCCAATCGAGAAGCACTGCTCGAGGCTGGTGCGGTTCCAATTCTCATTGGGTTGCTGGGAGATCATTCGGAGGACGTGAACCTGAGAGATAATGTTGCAGAGGCACTTGTAAACTTTTCTCAAGATATGGAGCAAGGTGACTTGGTAGCTGAGGTGGTTAATGGTCCTTCATTCGAGAATGCACATACTAGAGTTGGAAGACTCCGGTCCTCTGATGAGCAAACGGTTAGCTCTTTGAGACATCTTAGTGTTGAGCAGCTCAGTTATAACCCTGAACTTGTATAGTTGGATACTTTAGAGCTTGTTGTATCTTTTTCCCCCTTTGTGGATTGTGCAATGTTGTATTTTGAGTACAGAAGTAATATGTTCACAGTGATAGAGAACTGTTGAAAATAGACTCTTCATAGTGATGATGTGTTTCAAGTTTCACAGAGTTAGTGAATATCTGGCAGGTAGTATAAAAGAAATAGTCAAGAATATTATGTTGCCAATTCGAGTTGAGCAAGATTCAAACGTTGGAGGCCATTAGTCAAGCTCAAATACCTTGTCTGCAGATTTCCCTTCTTGTAACAGAATTGTCTTGTAGTTTTTGGTTGCACCTTCTCAATCTTGTTCCATGAATTGACTGATAAATGTTGACAGATAGAAAGAAGGGTTTAATCACCTCGAAACTTTCACAGGCAGAATATAATCAGCTGCAGAGAATCATTGCTGCCATTGCCATCCCTTCGAGATGGATGAGGTTGTCCTGAAACTGGGAATCATTTCCTCTTTATCAGATGAATACTATCAGGGTATCATTCAACTGCTCCCACCCAAAAGGAAAGCCTGGTGCTTGGAGACGGAGGGAAATTATGGAGAAACATTTGAACTCATGGATACAGAACTGCACTAGAAGCCATGGAAGAAGGAAACAGAACTTCTCAGTGACAAGGGCAGTAAGAAAGATGGGTCCTTTGCTTATTTAGCTGTCTAGTTTGAACAGGAAGCTTGCCAATCGTACTGTTGCATTGATACATAGACAATATAAACAAACTGCATATGGCCATGTAACTTCAACTAATCCTGAAGCTGTTGTTGTTGGTAGTGTGGTGAGTGTCCACTCATAATTAGGAGAATGTTGTAGATTAGCGTTCAGAAAATTAAAAAGTTTCCTTTTAGGTTTTGCGAATGAAGGGACTAAAAGAAAACAGGGGAAAGTCTGTGATTTGGTGTCAACTGGTTTGGTTCCTATTCCCCTGAAGTTGCCAATACAACAAAAGCAGCATTCCAAATGGCCAATAGTTCACAAAGTTGATGAGAAACGATGATAAAGGGAGGAAAAGACAACTCAGAAAGAAAATGGCAAGGCTTGGGAGGAAATTACAATGCCATATCAGAACTGCATAGTTAGTTTCATATAAGTGGTCTTGTCAATTGTTAATGGGAAGTAAGGATTTAGAATAAGAGGATTTCATAAATTAAACTAGATGTAATGTTATTTTACCTAATGGGTCATTTGGACTCTCAATGTGAGAATGTGGTGTGGGGATTTGGGTAGGATTTTCATAATGTGAGATTTTACATAAAATGGTATTTGGAAATGTTGGAGAGAGTTGGTATTCATACTGTTTAGTTGAGATTGTTATTTTTTTAAAAGTTTTATCCTTCAAAAGTATTTTTTGCATTAAAAGAAGAGGTGAAAGTGACATTTCTTTTAAAAATCGACTATCTTATTAATGGTAAAAAATACAAACACATTTGTCAAAAGTTGTATTCAATTGTATACCAAATTCACTAAAACATGTAACCCATCACAATTAGAGTTGTTAATTATCCGAGCCGACGTTTACCATGGTACGGGCTCGGCTCAAGTTCGAGTTTTAATAGGCAAGCTCAAGCTCTGCACGTTTACAAAAATAGAAGCTCCGCTCGAACTCAACTCGCCAAATGATCTTAATGAGCAAACATCGAGTTTTGGTGATAAAATGTCGATTGTAGCTCAAACTCGAGTTCGAACTCAGTTCTTAAGGCACCAACAACAAACACTTAAAGGCTTTCGAGCTTGTTCGTGAGCCTATCAAAATAAACATGTCAAGGCTCGAGCTTAACTCGTTCACAGATGAATTTGTTCGCGAGCCGGCTCGGTTGAAAAACAAATCGAATGTCGAATGAATTTTTCTCGAATCAAATGCCGAATTGTTCCGAGCGGCTTGGTTCATTAATTACAATACATCAATTAACCCCTCAAACTCAAATTGGTTGTTCCATCCCACCCAAAATCAAAAGTGCATTGGCATTGAGGTGGGATCAATACATGTAGCTATAGGTTCATCTACCAAGGGATAAACAAGCAAACTTCCAAACAAGAAAAAAACAGAGAGAAAGTAAGTTCCATTATCATACCCAACACCAAAAGTCCAAAACAGAGTACACCATCATCATTCTCCCTCTCCATCTCTCTCTCTCTCTCTCTCTCTCTCTTCTCTCTCTCTCTCTCTCTCTCTCTCTCTCTCTCTCTCTCTCTCTCTCTCTCTCTCTCTCTCTCTCTCTCTCTCAATACAAATAAAAGAATATTGAAACCAAAAGGAACATGTGGAAGAAGGGCAATTGAGGGGCCAAAAGGGCAGAGCAAATTGTGGAAGAATGAACTAGTAGTAGTAGTGATTCACATTGGGGATCACAAAACCTTCTAGGGATCAATAAACGAGAAGATTTAAAGAGGGAAAGGAATGTCTGTGTTCGTGTCCCCATTTGCTATTCCAACTACACTGGTATAGGCTCCATATAGCAGCCATGCAGGTGGAGACATTCCCCTAGCTACAAGATAAAGCTAAAGGCGGGAAGTAGCTTTTGTTCCATCTTTTCCCTCTTTAAGCACGCGCCCTCCTTTCCCACCCACTAAAATGAACTTTCAGAAAAAAAAGGTCTAAAAGGACAGGGGAACTGGGGGGAGAGATTTTTGGGGTCACTTTGTTCACAGCTAGCTTCCACAGAGGAAAATGACAGAACCCTTTTGTTCAAGCTGCTGTTACTGTGGGATGGTTCCATGCCACTTTGATCCAAACTGCTCGACGCCAAAAAAAAAAACAGAGGAAAACAGAGTAGAGAGGAAGAGGCAGAGGCTACAGTGGTTATCTTTGTTGTGGCACGCTCTTCCTTTTTCTGCAATGTCTTTCGCTTCCCCATGGATTGCGGAGGGAATTTTGAAATAAAGATGTGGTAGTAGGTACATTGCATAAATCTCAGAGTGTACTAACAAACAATCTCAATTCTTTCTCGGTTCATCCACGTTGAAAGAAAAAGTGTGTATGATAAGTAATGACTAACGAGTTACATATGACGTTCCATTCGAGGAACATTAATTGTAGTTAACAAATATGAATTGTATCGAGATTGACTGGATTGAGAATTTGCGTAAAAATTGAGAAATTATGATGTGAAATTCATACTAGGCGTCTCCCAATACCTCAAGTTATATGTACCGGTTTGCTCTTGCATGGTATAAACGCATTTGACTGTAAATACTTGTGTTTGGATGATTTTCACAACCACTAATATTATCAATTGACATGGGATGATGAGACTGTGCAAATTTCAAATATTTGAGAAGAGATAAAAGAATGATATAAGATCCATAATTGAAACTAGCTAGTTATTGATATTTAATACCCAAAAAAAATTCTACACTCCGTGAGTGGTAAAATTTTCAATTTTGCATAGAGTTGAATTTCAGGAATATGATAATCTACTTCATGTTCAAACATGTCACTAAAAGACTCTACTGAGATAAAGATGGGTTGTCAAGAACGTAAAGGAGGTAAGATGGGCAGTTGGTCAGATCTAGTATGGATCGTACATTGACAATAGTTGGAGTAAGCATCTCTCCTAGGGTTCCCTCATCTAGGATCCATGGGGAAGAGGATCAAGTTACCCCGTGCGAACAACTTGATGCACTATCTCCCTTCAACCCTTTAGCGAAATGCGGCAAAAGGAAGGAAAGTTCATAGACCGACCCCATCGTCTCCACTGGGTGAACAAACACACCCGCAAACCGACCCACCCGTCCAACCCGACCCAACCCACCAGTATTTATCGCTAAACGAAGATTTTGGGTTGGGTGAGAGTTTTCTTTTGTACAACCCGCCTCTTTTGGGTTGGGTTTGAATTTTTGGATTACAAAACACGTAGATCCCGATCTAACCCGTGTTCCAACTATTGGTATGAGTTCGTATCCAAAAAATATTTATTGCGTATATAGCGATACTTATGAGAAAATTAAGATATTTCGCCATGTTTTTCTCTCATGGTCTCCTTAATCTAATGCATTCTTCGGCTTAAAGTTTAGACATAAGTTTAATATAGCTATGATTCACGTAATTCTTTTTCTTGTGTACAATTTTAACAGAATAACATATTATGGATGCGTTAGTTTATAATCTTTGAAGCTTATTTCAATAAATGTCGTGAAAAAAACTAGACATATGTTGAAGTAAATCACATTTTAATAAAATTCAAACAACATTTGTGAATTTTGATTAGTCATTTGAAATTTTAATTAGTTTTATAAAATATTTCTTAGTGTAGAATAATTACATATTTTGTGTTGAGTTGAGTTCTTAATTAAAAATATCGCCAACCCGACCCAACCCAATTAGAAACAAACCGTAGGGTTTGAATTTTTTTGATTGGTTTGAGTTTAATATTCCATAAACCGTAGTGTATAGGTCGGATGATTAAAATGACTAAACCCGGACCACCCGATCATGTACACCCCTATCCACTAATATAATTTCATATCCTTTTAGAATTCAATTTTCAATTTCAATTCTTGTTTTAGACTAATTACAAGAATGATGAAAATGAATTGTATTTAATAAATAACTGTATTTCTTTTGAAAAGAGATGTGAAATGTAGAGAAACAAAAAGAAATAGTGAAGTGATAAAATAATAATAATAAATTTTAATTTTACTCATTCCATATCTGTAAATTTATATTTTTCGTAAGATTCCATTTCTCATGAAAATTCATTTCAAACTTTTCTTTTAGATGGTTAAAATATGACTTACTTTTTTTGTAAGATTCCATTTATCATGAAAATTCATTTCAAACTTTTCTTTTAGATGGTTAAAATATGACTTACTTTCGTCGCCTGAGAGATTCGAACTCTCGCGGGGAAATCCCATGTACTTAGCAGGCACACGCCTTAACCACTCGGCCAAAGCGACTATGACGTTTCTAGCTTTTTTCATTCCATACATAAGAAATACAATTGAAAATTTAATTTCCTGAGCTCTTATCATATCTCAACAAGTTGTAAAAGAAGACAACAACAAACTCGACAAATCTACATACACAAAGAAGAGATATAAACTGGGAATGTGGAGGAAAAACTACTAAACGAAGATGGTTAACTAATGACGATATAATAATCACAAATACTAAGTTATCCGTTTATCTTACAATGTCGAAAGAGCACCTTCAAGTAAACCTCAACATAAGGCCAATTTCGAACCATAAACGATTAAAAACACGTTAACCATTTTAGCGACGGCCTTGTCACCGTAAAACTTATTCGTTATTACATGTGAACAAAAGTGCAGATGAATGAAGTCTGCAAATGGCGAGATGTAGGTAATGACTGACAACTAGCTGGCTCTGTAGTTCTAATGGAAGGTAAATATGATCATATGCTCTCCACATTATTAACCAATTGGCTACGACAACAACAATAACAATGACAATAATAATAATAATAATAATAATAATAATAATAATAATAATAATAATAATAATAATAATAATCCTTTCATGGGTAGAATCGCCAACATATCTTTATCGATTATAGCTAAATGCACTTAGAATATTTTAATGATACAAAACGACAGAGAAAGAGGAAGAGAGCATTCAGCAAGTTCTAAAGTTATTCCCTGTTGGAGGCTTTGTCCTGTCTTCCACATCCCCATTCCATCCATATTCCACTAATCAAAAAGGGGTTTTTCCCCTTTTTAATCTTTCATTTTGTTTGGTCAAGGATTGAATTTTCATTAGCTAATATGAAAAAGAGTTACAATTGAGTTAATTCCAAGTCCTGGAAATTCTATAAGAAAGAAGTGTTGACACGATCTGACCAGTTCATCGAGTACAAATAGGGATTCTCGAGCCATACAGACAACCATTAGAAGTATTTTTAGCTTGCGCGGTAACATCTTAAGTGCACTAAAGTCCGTTACTTAGCATAAGCAAGTGAGTAGAAGGTGAATAATTGTGACATTATAGATGACTCAGAGGCATTCTGAGTCCACCACCTCAACAAAGCCGAAACCTAGGGTATAGAACTCTCCCGGATTCGAGGGATAAAGATGACAGGAAGGAAGACCCAACCGACTAAACCTCCTCTCTATCGGTCAAGCATATTCTAAACCTCATTTCCCTATCGGCTGAGCATCAACGAGACTATTCTATCTGGTTGGATGTGGCTCAAAAACTAGCAAAAGGGATGACCCCACCCACCCCCTAACCCAGAAATGGTAAACTTCGGAGGATCTCCACTTGTTGATCGACCAATTGCAAAATTCGAATTCCGAGTTATATCTTCAAGCACTCGAAATAATACTGAAAATACTCGTTTATATTTCTGTCACATTCTCGAGAGAGAGGACATCCATCGCTTAAAAGAGAAAGAAATAACCGAACGAATGTTCCAACGAGGTCTCACAAGTTCCTCTTAGTAGCCAGACCCTCCCACTAATAAGACTTGCAAAAGAGAGTTTTGCATAGCTAAAGTGAAAACAGTAAATATTTTTACTTCTTGCTGTAAAAAAAAAACAAAAAATGAAATGAACTACAAGATGGATGAAAAGAAGAGAGACCCCAAGAAACGAGGGGAGGTCCGGAGGAACCTCTATCTTGTGGACACAAAAGCCGACAGTAGAACTCGCCCAACATACCCTTTTGATTCCCACTCCTAATGCCCTTCCAACTGCTACATTCCATTATTCCTTTCCTTGGACTGCTTCTTATTTTTATTTTTTTACCTTGTAATTCAAGCAATGAAAGAAAGAAAGTCCATCTGCCACTTTCCCGCATCCACCAAACTTTGCTGGCTTCCCTCTTCCTTTCTTTCTTCCTTTCTTTGAGGTTAGCCACATTCATCCATGGCTTTTCCTCTTTGGACTTAGTGACTCGGCTGCCGAATCTGCTTTTCCCCTCCACCTCTCTCATACGTCATTCAGAATCCAACACCACCACTGATCAAACCCAATTATCACCCTGTCATGCCCTATATATAGTAACAAACGTTGGCTATTTCAGTATTTCACAAGCCAAGCATTGCAAACATAACTTGCCTCCTTCCTTCCAACCTTTGTTTCTGCCATCAATCAATCAATCATTCTTGCACCAAACCCATATCACAGTTCATTCAATGGACAGGCAGCAGAGATATGAACCCACTGCAACAATCATGCACTCTTCTTCCATTGCCTTGCTCCAGGAAAGGTTCCGGCAGCTAGAGCGAGCCAGGGAGATGAGGCAACAACGTGAGCTCTTCAGGTTCTTCGCTGAAGCAGAGCAGCAGGTGAAACCAGTAGCCACCGCCACGGTTGTTTACGAGCCACCGAACAACTTTTCTCACCCTGAGCTTCTCTTTCCATCTAAGCAGCAGCTATTGATTTCATCTCAGAAACCAATGAAGGGACAATGTCACTTTGATCTTCAAGTCAGAGAGATCCCAGATTTGGCAAATCTGCGCTCTGCAAATCTCCTGATGATGCAAACTCAATACAACTACTTTGATGAATCAGAAGTTGATACCTCTCTTCATCTCTGAAAACTTTTTTTTTTTTTTTTACAATTAGAGTTCCTCTGCATTTGTCTTTGTTTCCTGCTGCTGGTGTTTCTAAAGTGTGTTTTTCTTTAGTGGCCTTTTTCACTGGGAACTGTAAAAACCAGCGCACAAAAAAGAAACCTCAACCCCAAGAAATATAAGAAACATGGAGGGGGCAGAAAGAGAGGATAGTTATCTAATTTCTAATGTCTACTGGGATTCTCAGCATGATCATCATCATCATCTTCTTCTTCTTCTTCTTCTTCTTCTTCACGTTCAGCCATTACATTGGAATCGGAAAGAGCATGCACAGGTCTCACTTGTAACGAATCCTCCTCGTAATCAGACTCTTCTCCGCTGCTGCTCCACTTCCTCTTCCTGAACTTTGGAATCATGCGACCTACTTCTTTGGCCTCCACAGCCTCCTCGCTATTGTGTATCCTTTCAAACCGAACTGCACCGACTTTTCGCGCATTTCCTGCTAATATCTAAATGAAAGGAACACATACAACAACGTATAACTGCATTGGTCTATAACTGAGCTCACCATAAAATATAGCCTCTCTTGCCCTTCTCTCTATATACTTCCTATGCAGGAAATGCAACATATAATATTGGACACGACTTTACAAATGAGTCCTTTTTTCTTGAAGAAACAAGATCAGTTTTGCATGCCATTACGACAGAGATGAAACAATAAATGCAAAGTGTCCATTTCTCCCCAAGAAAAGAGGCTTAGGATTACAGTGGACGAGTTCATTATTGAATGCTAAAGTAGCTATGTAGGTTGAAAATATGAGTGGTTAAGGTAATAAATCATTCATTGTAATAGTTGAGTGCTCTCTATATGCTATACAAAATTATGGGATCATATGGGCATTTCCTGAGATCGTTGATCTTCGCAATTTGTAAGATTTTAGGAAAAATCTTTAGTACAGATTGATCTTAAGCATGTTTGACAACCATGCCCAAACCAACAGTTACAATGGCGTCAAGAATCTTTAACTTGATTGATGAAAGACTGACCAAACTATTGCCTTTTATGCTGTCAACCAAAACTAAGATGCAAAACTATTTTCCAGAAAATTATTCAACCATCAAATTTCTCATCTTTAGTTTGTTCCATACCACACCCTAAGCAAGGCTTTCATTCAAGACAACATAGGTTCAAAAGACAAAGCTTCCTTAATCATACCTCAAGCTTGTATATTAGATGCTTCTCATTCAGTTCTCTTTCAGACTTGCCCTCCGTATCCTCATCTTCTTCATTCGACTTGTCAAGAACCACTTTGATGCTCTCACCTGTCCTTGGGATGTATCCAAATGCTTCACATATAAAACCTGATACTGTCTCATACTGATGACCCTACAACACAGAAAAAGAAGTATTGGAGTAGGACTACAAAAGTTGAGCTTATATGATGTTCTTCAAGCATCTGCAACCATTTCTGAAGACCAGGTACAAGTTAAAACCAAAAAGGTGTATATGAAGGTTGCTGAGTGTTTTTTGAGTTCCTTGAGAAAGACATCAATGAAATGAATGAAAAGGCGTGTGACCAGACTAGATGACATTAAGCTTCAAGACTGTAATGCAATTAACACACACCAAGTAAAAAGCATTGTGTGTAGAAATTCTGCTCATGTTACTAATAAGAACAACTGTTTTCCTGCATAAATCATAGAGTAATGCCATGTTCCGCTCACAAACCTTGTAAAATAAACTTTAATGAGATACTGTTAGTGTTTGTTTATGCATGTAATATGCTTAATAAATTGGAGGGAAAAAAGATCTACACTTCAGGTTAATCAAATGTGCAAGTTGAGTTGCTAACCACTGAAATCTTCATAATAGCACGGACAACTCTAAGCTGACATAAGCGTATGTACTCCGTTACCCTTAACTAAATCAAACCATTCATGACATACCTCTGACATTTTGATGTTTAGATCTTCAGAGAGTTGATCAATTGATGTATTAGCATCAACATCGTACACTCCCTCTGCTCGCATTACTATATATCCAGTTTTCTTCTGTATCTCCTCCTGTGATAGAATTACATTGTCAATGATCAACTCCAGCTATGATTCAAACCCATGAGCATATTCACCAGAAAAAGAAGCACATGAGAAATACAACTAGGATTCTCTAAGAAAAAAAACGTGACATTAACGATTATAAGCATGTCGAAAACTGGGTGGTATAGTATTTACTCAGTACCAAAACAAAAGGTTCAAAATTGTACCATGACTTCATATGTACCAACAATTGGACAAGAGACATGTGCATGAACGAGTAGACATAGCCACATAGGGCTATCAGAATGCACACAAATGCCGGATGTTTACCTTTGAATCATTTTCATCAAAGATCTCACCAACAATCTCTTCAACAACATCTTCAAGGGTTACCAACTATATTGGCAAAATAAATATGAAAAAAGATAAGTCATATAATAGAATACAATAAATAAACAAGTGGGTATATTGTTCATGTGGTTGTCTACATGAAATGTGAAAATTGCATTTGAGATTGTCCAAGATTGTTTAGAGAATGCATGCCCCATGAGATATCTGCATCCCTTTCAGATATTAAATACAAACCTCTTTTTCTATTGAATGACTTATCAACAAATTAGATTAGTCATCATTTAGACGCATCAAGGCACCATTATTCACTACTAATACGCGCTTTTAAGTAGAGTTAGCCTTCTGGAACAAATTATATCATGTTATGACATCTAATAAGGAACAAGGTGAATAGACAAAAACAATTAGTTTCTGCACGAAGTGGCCAACATTGCTTCACGTTTCCTTTCCAACTCTTGGGCCTAATATTTAAATCCAAAATTATCTCCGCAGCAACCTCCACCAAGTACACACACTTCGAGTCATTACTGGGTGTTTCGTCTATTAACTATCACTATATTCCCTAGCAAGTAGGGCCCAGTTTCTCTTTTGTCAATGTCTAACCACGATTAATTACCTATCTCCAATCACGCAGAGCAAATGGACAGTCAAGTAGTTTTACTTGTCATCCATAATGAAATGGAGAATTGTATTTCTGAAATATGCAATGAGGTCAAGTTAGTACATACTCCAACAGTACCGCCATATTCATTAAGGACAACAGCCATGTGAACCTTCCTGATCCGGAATTCTCTGAGAAGATTCCAGACGGACATTGAATCTGCAGAAGAAATGCATACTTCGTCAGCAAAAAAATTATGATGAAGACCAACAAAACAACAGCAAGTAACCTTTGATATCAAAACAAAATTCAAGGATAGAATCTTCTCCCACACGACTTCCCACAATATGAAAAACAAGTATAGCACTGAAGCTAAGCCATCCTTCACTACTGAAACATAATATGTTCAGCAGATTGAACTGGCAATCATGAAGCTTTTCAATTGGACCGCTAGGTTTGAGCAGTTTATCCAGTGGATAGTATACTTTATTTTTATTTTCTCGGTAGAAGTATATTTTACTATTTTGACAAGAACAAACAAAATAGGAAAGGAGCATGTAACAAAATCCAGTGAAACGAGTAATGTCCTTCATATTGATGTATTTCTAGACCTCGATTGATAAGTTACCTATACTTCAAATTCTCTAAGCTCAGTATTCTCGGGAATCTAGAACATCAAAAGTTCCCGCCAGAGAGTTGATGAGAACAAAAAACAAAATTAGTTCCATCAGAAAGTTCAGAATGGTCTGATTCAGATAGAATTAGAAAATCAAAGAACAGGAAGAAACTAAAGCTTATATATAAAAGAAAATAAAACCGATAAGCAGAACTGAACTACTTAGTGCAATTGGGACTTAGTGACTAGATCTGACTAATGCACTCATTATGGCAGAAAATAAATTCTTGACATTCCATTGGAACCAACAGAAAGACAAGCACAAAAGGGATCTTGAGTTTTTTTTACCATTGGATATAGATTTTCATTTCGTCAAATATAACCACAGTACATGAGCCAAGTTTACCTGGTACAAAATATGCAGGTTTGTGAGCCATGTCCCCCACGATGGTGCTTTCTAGTAGCTCACCCTTCAAAATTAAACAGATGATCATTCTGCAGGTTATGAGATTTTTTCATGATCAATAAACAGACTACAGCAACTTTGAAAAGGGGGTGACAGGAAGCAGATACTGCCCAACCTTCTGCACATAATCCAGCAGATCCATTGCATAGGCAATACCCACAATGTTGTCCACACGCTGTTCAAAAACAGGTACCCTGAAAATGCCGAGAGAAACCGGAGCTTAGTATGTAAGACTTTATGCAGAATCAGAGACCGATACACACATTTGCTTACCTTGAATATTGATGTGTCACCCACATTTCATGAAAATCAATGAGTGTTGCACTTGCATCAATTGCAACAACATCAACAAGAGGCGTCATCACTTCTCTTACATGTGTATCTTTAATCTCCAGCACATTCTCAATCATATCCTGCATCAGAAGTTTATATTCTTCATTTGAGAGAAAAAGCACCTATACCCATTTGCCATTTCATAAAGATTTTTGCAAATAGGACCAAAAACATTAGGTTAACGAAGACTATTGTTTTCAGACAAAGTGGATGCAGATTTTACCACGCATATGAGTATACACAGATCATCCATATGGTGCTCACACATAAGTAGGAATAAATTGACAGAATCGTTCACCTGCTCTTCCTCCTCTATTGCTCCACTTAGTTCTGCACCTCGCAGCATCAGCTTTAGCTCATCCTCAGTCACATATGGTTCGCTGAACATTATCACAAAATTAGATTTGGGGAATAGGTATGTAGGACAACAGAAAATAAAACTGAAAAGGGAGAGGACAAGAGGATGCACGGATAAGAGTATTATTCATCAGTTTATTCTGCGCATTATGGAGTGCGTAACTATAGAAATTCTATAATTCGACTCAGACAGGGGAAGTTACTGCTTACTACACAGTGGATAACAATGAATGCTGGCACATAACTGTTTCCAACTAACTCTAAAAAAATATTCTGACAGACCCATGCACGACATAATCTTTTTCAGTCAATGACAGAAAAGTTTCTTCATAAGAATGTCCAAGTATCATTCCTCTAGGAATCAAAATACCATGGAAGACAAAGTGACCAAGAAGAATAAGAAAATAACTATAGAAATAGCAAATAAATCTCGCAACTGACTCGCCTTGACCATAGAGACAGTGACCAGTCTATCCAATAGACAGAGCAAGAAACTTGAAAATAAGGTGCATCATATGGATCCAAAACATGCCCACTCGGACCATGCTCATGTTTCACCTAGCATTAATGGCTCATTACAGACACCCAAACTTCACCACCTCTCTTCCAGTGTGGATAAGAGTTGGGGCATTCGTCATGAAACAATAATATGAAAACAAACAAATCAAAAACACATGGCAATGCATAAGAATTTATGAAAAGGAACTCACCTTATCCCTTTCAAACCAAGCATTTTCAGCATTCCCATTGACAAGTAAGTGACAACTCTGCCCACAGGATAGAGAATCAGTGAAAGCCAAGCCACTGGCCTGACCTACATGCATTATAGACAACACTAACTTAGACAACTGAGTTAGCAATAAAAGAGCAGGAACAAGTTTCTGCAATCGTCTATGTACTTACCACAAACCTAACAACCTCTGTGGCATTATGAACGGCTATACTCTTGGGAGTAATCTCAGTGAGCAGCAATATAGCCACCTAATATTTAAGCCAAATTAGATAGTTCAGAGGATATCAGTCACTAGGAATATAATGCAGAGAGAGAGTTCGTTTTACATACAGTCATCACTCCAGTGGCCGCGCTGACACCAGCTTCGCCAAATATCGTTGTGGCTGCCTCAGTGACCAGTGCAGTGGCCGCAATATTGACAACACTAAGAGCACATATAGAATTACCGGTTAGAAAAGGAATTTTGAACACAAATCGAAACAGCAGTTAGGAAAGAGTACTACGTTGTGCCTATAAGAATAGTGGTCAGAAAACGAGTGACATCTTTGCGAAGCAGTTTGAAGACACCGCCATCATCGGTCTCTTTTTCTGCCAGTTCACGTACCTGACAAGTACACAGAGATTTCCAACTGAAGGAACCATAGTGGTAAAAGAGAATACTGAGCTGGAGTAATCAAGTCCCACAAGCTTAATAAACATAATTGTCATTCACTAGTCAAATTCAACAGTTTAATGTACAAAACCAATGCATTTCTACAAAAGTAGATCATCCCAATTCTTGAGCTATAGAAAACATACCTTCCATGGCCACAGCGTGGTTATGGAAGTCTCAGCCATAGAGAAAAATGCAGATAAACCCAAAAGTGCAGCCAATATCAAACCCTGCTCTTTGATAACAGTAAGGAGCATCTGCAGCCTAGGCCAAGAGTTCCTCAGCAACAAAATATTTTGCCCACTAACTCCATAGCCCGGATTCGCCACTCCTTCAGCCGCAAACACCCGTTTGTATCCAAACATCACTATCCCACAGACCATTGCGCCCAAAACAACACCCCTTTTCAAGAGCACCATGATCGTTTCCAAGTTCACATCCGGGGCAACATTACCTTCGGTAACCCTGTCTCCACCATTTTTCCCTAGCAAGCTCGAACTAGCTATCACTCTATCAAACACGCGGGTTCTCTGAACACTTGAATTACTCAAAGCAGTTCCGCAACTGCACGGCTTGACAAAATTTGAGGAAAGCGGAGCCGGGTAGTGATAATTCTTGGGAGAGACATTGCACGGTAGCTTTGAAATCCGATTGTAACGCAGCAAAGATGAGACCTTTGTCCCTGAAACGGACACGGGTCGGCCCAGAATTGAGGACTCGAATGCAATCTCCATTGGCGAGCCTGCCCTCGCCTCGACTAGCCGCCCAAACCCAGAACCTCCGAAACTTCAACCCAAGCGAAAATGGAGTATTGGGGGAAATCGAATTGGTTGAGTTAACGGCACAAACAAGCAACTGCCCAAGACAAATATCTTCGAACTTTTAGGCTCTTGAAGAAACCTTTTTTTGGTCTTGATAGACTGTGAAACGGGGGGAAATGAAGAGTGGGAGCGGAAAAGGAGAGAGGGGTTATTTCCTTTCTTTAGAAAGAGGCAGCTGGGGCCTGCGGAGGAAGACAAAAAGGGTCTTCGTCCAAGTGGTTGGATGGCTGGCAGTTGCGGCCGAGGTGGCGGCGGAGTTGGTGGGTGCTCCCTCTCCTCTCAGTGGTCGAATTTGTTTATTTGAATTTTACGGAAGCCATTTGCTCATTCATTCACTCGCATTCATGTTATCTCCGGCTGCCGAATGGAAGCCATATGCGGAGGAAGGATAATGAAATTGCTTCAAAAGCAAAGGACGAGGTTAATACTACTTTAGGTCCTTGAACTTAATACTGATATTAAATGAGTCCTTGAATTCTGGTTTCCGCAAAGATCAAAGAAGTCCCGGGATTTAGTCATTTAGTCCAGACTGATCCTTACGTCCAGGAAGTTTCGGTCCAAAAATATTAGGGCTTTACCCGCCAAGATAGGCCAAGTTTTGTGTAGTTCGACCAACAGAAACTGTCAGGTTTCTCCAAGGTTCACCAGGGTGACCAAGGAGAGGGAAATCTTAAAATATATTAAAGCGCTTTCACAAAAACCCCTCTGCCACGTACTCTTTCAAGCCTAGCCCGCAATTCTCGGAATTTCATATATTGTTTTAATTTTTTAATGCGCTGTAATTGGTAGTGGTGGTTATCCATTTTTCCCCAATCAATTTTTTACGCGTTGTTTGCTTTTATCCTACCAAAAAAACTCTATCCCACGTAATTCATATATAAAAATAAAAGAATCCTTTTCCTTTGGATAAGGGTTTATCATTAGCAAAATATCTTAACCATAAAAAAATCAACACATTTAAAATATGTACATTTCATTTCAAATTAATTAAAATCCATATTTTTATAAGAATTTTTTATTAAATTAATTTCTTACATTTACATATTCATTTTTCAAATGTCATTAGGTTTATATTCACCCATAATTCACAATGTAAATTTATAAAACAATCAATTTGACCATTTTGGGTTAGCATTAAGCCACTCATATAGAATAATTGATTATTACATTATATATGTCTGCGACCGACTTAGTCAATGCTATAAAGTAGTTTGACTTAAGAACATGGGTTGATTATGTTACACAAAAAATATTCGCTACGTATTTATAGTTGAGATGTTTACTCACAAGTTAAACTTCCACGTGCATTTAGATTACAATAGATAGTTTTCAAATTATTTAAAAATTTATGTATATTAGAAGATAAGAAATTGGAAATTTGTAATATCCAAAATAGTTTTGACGATGTGGAAATTCATTGGAATAATAATTAGATGAAACACATCCCGGCCAACTGGCCGGGCACAATTCTAGTAACTCTGAAATAGCTTTGAAGCATGTTATTCAGTGTTTCATAAGGATACAGATAACAGCTGCAACATCTAAGATGTTGCAAGGAAGAAACTCATGCCTAAACGTGACTCCCCCAAAACTCTTCCCTCCATTAATGCAACATTCCTGAAATTTTCATCATCATCAGAGGCAGCAGCAGCAGCAGCAGGCAACTCTTATGGCTATCTGATGTCAGTTGATGGACTTTTAAGCAGCTTTGATTGGGTCAATACTGTTCTTTCGAGCCCTCGCTGTACTCCGCTACAAGTTGAGAAAACGAGGACAACTTGTTCTCCAACAATCTTGCTGGTGTATCATATTCTTCAATCAAGCCTGGTGACACAAAAACGACGATACTACATCATTAGCAATCTGATGTGTTTTTTACTAATACTAACCAGAGAAATGGGAAGGGTTCAGATAAACTCACCGTGGCTGAGCAGAAGAACCATGTCGCTATCAAGAACAGATGTTATTCGATGGGCTATGGTGATAACTGTGCAATCGAAGAAGTGTTGTCTAAGTGTTTGCTGAATCAGATTATCAGTTGCTGTATCTACTGAGGCAGTAGCTTCATCGAGAACCAACACTTTGCTCTTTTTCAACATAACACGGCCAAGACAGACTAGCTGTCTCTGCCCCATACTCCAGTTCTCTCCATTCTCAGTCACTGTAAGCCAGCAATTAAAATCATTTGTTTACCTTTACTAATTACAGTGTCAATAAGCAAACCCTTTCTATCAAACACATAAATAAAAACTAACCGGCAGAATCCAGCTTTTTCTCCTTCTTCCTAACTTCATCTCCAAGTTGGCACTTATCCAGAGCCTAACATTTGACATAGTTCAAACACAAAGGATTGATTGAGGAACACATAATCCAACCATAATGAAACATCACTTAAAAGAGGGCAGATTAGAGAGAAAAAGGAAAAAATAAACTAACCTCCCAAATCTGTTCATCAGGGTATTGCCCAAGAGGGTCCAGGTTGCTTCTTACAGTCCCTTCAAACATGGTTGGATCTTGAGGTATGATGCTGAGCCTTGAACGCAAATAACGGCTTCCAATTGTTGAGATGTCGACGCCATCGATCATAATCTGCCCGACTGTTGGGTCCACGATCCTGAAAAGTGTCTGTATAAGGGTTGATTTACCACTGCCCGTTCTGCCAACAATTCCTGTTTTCTTTCCTCCGTCAAATGTGCAGGTAAGGCCTCTCAGCACAAGTGGCAAACTTTCGGCATATCGAACCTGTAAGGGTTCAAAGTGGGTTAGAATGCAAAGTTTTTCAGGGTAAAGAATGGTTGAAAAAGGAAACAATTGTACCTGCAGGCTACTAATCTCAACTTGTCCTTGTGATGGCCAAGAAGGATCTGGTTGCTTCGCTTCTACTTCCGGAGAATTCTCCCTGGGAATAGAAGTGTACTGAAGAATTCGCTCCACTGATACAATTCTGTTCTCAACATCACTTATGTCCCACAACCATGCTTGAAGGAAGTATATGTTGGTTGCATATGTCAAGGCTATGACAGTGACAGCTTTGGGGCCAAGATACGCAAGAAAAACGAAGATAAACAGTTGTTTTTTTCACTTTGGAGTATGGTAAAGTAATGACTGAAATGAAGACGATATCAAAGGACTTACTTACATGGATCTGTTTTAGGGGACGAGTAGATGATGAAAAGCGAAGACACCGCACATATGATAGAAGATAAAAGATCAAGGCGAACACGGAGCCACTCTGTTGTGGCAGCGTTATGAAACTTGCAGCGGGAATATACATCTGTGACTCTCATAGCTGTCTCTTTGAATCTTGGTTGTTGATCAAAGCTCCTTATGGTTATCCTTCCAGAAACTGTATCAGCAAAATGTTGGATAACTGGAGCCCTGCACACTCCTACCAGCCGCGAAAGCTGCCGTGCTGCTGATATGTAGTATTGCTACAGATAAACAGTTGGCGGCGGACGTTTGGATTATTATTATCATCATCACTTTTTACAATGGTGACACACCTTGAATTGATATGACTCATACCTGAAAGCAGAAGCCGATAGCAATATAAGGAATCATTACTAGATAAACTTGCCACGCAACCTGAGACATAACTGCAATGGTTATCAGAAGTTGGATTATCGAAGAGGCAGCTGTGTGAATTTGGCCTAGAATTTTCTGATCAACGTCACTTTGATCCGTAGACGCCTATAAAAGGAGCAGTTAGCTTAGCATGGATTTTATCTACGCATATTAAATTCAATAGCATAAAAAGAAAAATGGAGGCCCAGTTAACTTACACGGCCTAGAATTCTCCCAGTAGGGGTGGAGTCCAGAAACGCCATGGGAGCACTGAAAATACACAGGTGCATCTTGTTGAAGAGCCGAGTCGCAGTTTCATACGCTGTAACTGCAAGAACAGTGGTTCTGGCTACCTGGCATGCGAGGCCCGCGATAGTCAAAACCACGTACACAGTGAACAGCTTGAGCACACGGTAAATAGGCTCTTCCTGCTCTGATGATACTCCACTTGCCCAAGCTAACAACTTCTTGTTGCCATACTGGAGCAGCTGGAAAACCAACTCTGCAGCTACTGCGATAGCACCAGCAGACGCCGTGCTGAGATACTTCCAGTAGAGAGAGAACCAAACCCTTCCTACTCCCCTCTCTTCTTTTTTAACAAGCTGACCCTGATCTGTTATCCCACCACCATTCCTGTGCTCAGCCTGGTTGCTGTTGCTCGTCTCGCCAATTTCCTTACTCGTGCTTCCCACTGCAGTTTCTAAATGTTTCGAGTCAATCGCTGACAAAGCCACCTTGTGTGCACCAAAAATTTCCCCGAAATCAGTCCCTGAACTCTGGCAAATCTCACTGTACTTTCCACTCTGAGTTATCCTTCCATCTTTCATGATCTGACCAAATCGTAAAATTGGAGTTTCCACATGCAGCAAAATCAGTGGCGGACATCAAGGGTATTGAACAATAAAACAAAATTACCAACTAATTGTAATCAATCAACTCCATACAATGAAGTTTTTTTTAGTTAAAATTAAAATATCAATATATCTTCCAACCAACTAGAGGAATTCACGTGTCACACTTTCTCTTTTATTTTCACCCCTCAATTTTAAATGCTTGTATCTTATTCATTTCCATTCGGATTTTATTTATTTTTTGCACATAGACAATTTATTTTACGAGTTCTATAAAATTATAACCACTTTTGTATATTTTGAAGAAAATTCTACATCATCAATGACGAACTCATATTTTGAGAGCTTATAATTTACTAATAATTTTCAAGTGGATTGCCGTTTTAGAAGCTGATACTGAATAGTGTAACTTTAGCATAAAAATATTTGTGACTTTCTTTAATTTTTAAGTATATTACCAAGGTGACTATCGCTTTTGAAAGCATCTAATTCTCTTGCTCTGAGTGATCACAAGAAATACAAATAATTGAAGTTTCACTTATCAAATTGAGTTCTTCCGCCCAACAGGCGACCTTAATTTAGTTGTTAAAAGGGCAAACATTCTTTTTGAATGTTATTTTTTTAAAGAGATTCATTTTTATTGTTGGTATCAAAGCCCCAAAGTTTATTAGCAAACTGATATTGGCTTTCATTTTTCAATTTTCCAAATCAAAATCATCCCTAATCAGAAGCATGAGGCAGGCAATTAACTAGTTGAAACTTAAAACATGGAAAAGTACTCACCAAAATTAGATCTGCGGCGAATAAGAATTCAACTTGATGAGTGACGTAAACCACAGTTTTGGAGCTCAAATGACCAAGCAAAACTTCCTGCAGCAATACAAAAAGAAACAGCACAAGATCAAGGGAAGAGCAATGCTGCAGATATAGTGCCGTTACGATTTATGATTACGAATCAGAACAAATAGGGAACTAGTGAATCTAGACCTTAAGCAAATGCGATCCAGTATGAGCATCCTCAGCACTGAAAGGATCATCCAACAGGTAGATGTCTGCATCTTGGTAGAGGGCACGAGCAATCTGAATCCTCTGCTTTTGTCCTTCACTCAAATTGACACCTCTCTCACCAATCTCTGTTTGATCACCAAATGAAAAGATCTTGAGGTCATTCTTCAGTGCACAAGCTTCCAGTACTCGGTCGTACTTGTCTTTGTCCATCTCTTGGCCAAACAAAATGTTGTCTTTAATCTTACCACTCTGGATCCAAGGTGACTGATCAACATAAGCCTTTGTCCCACATAGCTCGACCAAGCCGGACATCTTTGGCACCTCTCCCAGAATGCAGGAGAGCAAACTTGATTTGCCTGAACCAACAGCACCGCAAACAGCAACCTTCATCCCACGGCACACCTTCAGGTTTACATCTCTCAACGTTGGGGGGTTTGGTGAAGATGAATCCCAAGAGAAACTCCCTTCAACGATCTCAATAGCAATATCAGAAGACCCTCCTTGAAGCCTCTTTACAGCATCATTCGGCAAGTCGTGGAGTCTAAGGTAGCCTACAATTCGACCAAATGAAACCTTCACTTCATACAACATGGAAATGGATTTTGGGAGCTCATAGATGGGAACTTGAAGTCTCGAAAAAGAATTTAGTGCTGCTAACATCTGCCCAGAATCTATTGGCATGTCGAAAAAAGCGAAAGTAACCACAGCAACAAAAGTCGAGGCAGCCGAGTAGTAAAAACTAATGAAAGCAGAGGAGAAAGCACACATTCTCAACGATCCAGTCTCTGCCTTCCGCAGGCCAATGATCTTGTCCAGAAACTTCATTTCCCAAGCCTGCAGCTTCAGAACTCTCATGTTCCTTAACGTCTCAGATGTTGCTTTCATTCTTTCCTTTTTCGATTCCCTCACCCTTTCCTGATAAGTCTTCTGCCATCTTAGCAAGGAGAAACCTATCCATATTATGGCCACAATTGCAGCGAAAACTTATATAGATGCAAAACCCAACATTGTGCCTAGCATGGACAAGGCTGAAAAAATATTCAAGATACCAAAGCACAGGTGATACAAGTACCCAATCAAGTCACTGATTCTCTCGGCGTCCACTGTCACAACATTGATGATTTCCCCGCTACTTTGGGCAAGCTTAGACTGATACGAGAGGGTCAAGCTCTTGTTGTAGATCATTGTAACCAGCGATGCACGCGTCCTAATACCAATGCATTGCAACCGAAATCGCACTTGGCTTTGTGACAAGCAGTCGACAGCATTTGCAACCAGAAACAGTATGGGGAAGAAGATATACCCTTGATGCGTGAATCTCCCTTCCTTGTCCACAGGTACAAGGGAAATAATCATGATAGTTGAAACAAGATATGTTGCTGTGCTCAAAATGGTCAGGCAAATTATCATCAGAATTTCTTTCCAAACTGAGAAGAACAATGCCTCGGCAAGCTTGGAAGCTGTAATAGTGCTCTCCTTAAGAGATGGGGATGCTCCGAAGACACTGTCATCTCTATTAAGCTGAGGAACATCCTGAACCTCTAATGCTTTCTTATACCCAAGAACAAGCTTGAAAGTTGTAATAATGCCCTTATCAGATTCAACAATCCTCTCCTTAAGAGACGGGAATGCCCCAAAGACACTGTCATCTTTATTAAGCTGAGGAACATCCTCAACCTCTAATGCTTTCTTATACCCAAGAGCAACCAGAGAACCAATCCAAGAGAAAGAAATAAGGCCCCAAACACCAGCACATGAATAGGGAGTGACAATGTCGTCCCCTGTTGACTTTTTCGGCTCCAAACTCGACTCATCATGATCCAGAAAAGGCTCTTCTAGAAGTGTACTGTCATCAATATCACTGTCATTGTGACTGATTCTATGTCTCCAGAACTCCGCAGAACAGAGAAACAGACCGGCCAACACAGAGACTGCATCAGAAACCAAATGCAGAATCTGGGAAGAGGCATGGAGTTGACTGTACAAGACAAGGCCAACGACAAAGCAATAACAGGAAATTGAAAGATACAACCCCCACCACGTCCTCAAGGAAAGAGGAAACTTTGTTTCAGCTGAATTTGAAACTCGGGTGAGCAGGAAAGCAGTAAGCGTGCCCCAAGAGCAAGTTCTGAGGGCTAAATCGGAAAGGATTATCACTATATCACCATCGTTAGACCACTCATTCCCGAACCACTTGAGGTAACTGTATAAAGTCAACTCTAGGTTGAAGAATGAAAGACAAAGAGAGTAGAGCACGCTCATGGTATGATAAAAACACCTCTTCTTGTGCTTGCCAGAACAACTTCCCTTAGAACCATCACCAGGATCTCGCACCCAGAACTTTCTCCTCACAAGGGAAGAAAACAACCCAAGCAGCAAAAGCAGGTGTATTGAACCTGACAATCCTCGTAGGAAAGTTGGTTTAAGGAAGAACATGTCTCCGTCTACTGATCTGGCTCTGGATGAGGATGGAAGAATATCAAAAGCTAGAGATGAGAGTAGCTGAGAAACTCAACTCTATTATGCTGCATCAAAAGCCTCAGCGGCTGAAGAAGATGGATTATGAAAATAAATTTTGCTCTGCATTGGACGGTAGTTGCCAGGAATCAAGAGGTCTAAAGCGAGTCAACAGCAAACTCGCCTGTGTCCTTTACTAGGTCTTGCATAGAATACACAGTAGTCACTTTCATCGAACAACCTCTGCCGCGGCAATATAAAAATTCAAACTTGAGACCGTCCCAAAAATTTGTGACATAATTCCTAGGCACTTTCAACGCAACAGAGACCAAGAACAGTAGAGAATCAATGAACACGAAAGCCCCAAAATTTCGAAGTCTTAGAATTGGTAGTTCTTACTTTACGATTCCCTGGCCGGATCTCCATTTACGCCTCCTCCGAGTCGTCTTCCTTAATCCTTCCTTGGTTCTTCTCCTTGAATCGCGAAATCGGACTGGGTTACGATAGGAGCCAGCTTGACAAGAAGAAGAACAGAGAGCTTAATTAGGGCGTGCACTCGAATCAAGAGAGGGGAAAACAGACGAACAAGCAGCAGACGGGAAGTAGCGCCGTCGCCGCCGTCTTCGCGGAACCCTCCGCCGCCGCCTTCTCTTTCGTTCCGGCATCCCGTGCCGTCACATACAAGCAGACACGTGCTGCCGCCTTCTATTTCGTTCCGGCATCACGTCCCGTCAACAGAGAAGCGCTGCGCACCCCAAGAGCAAGTTCTTACGGCTAAATCGGAAATGAAGAGTGGTGGCTGGCAGTTGCGGCGGCGGAACTGGTGGTTGCTCCCTCTCCTCTTCAGTGTAGTGGTGGACTGGAAGAAGGCCGACGGCAGTTCTTTGAATTTTTTGTTAATACTACTTCGGTCCTTGAACTTAATACTGATATATAAAATGAGCCCTTAAATTCTGGTTTCCGCAAAGAAGCCCCGGAATTTAATCATTTAGTCCAGAAAGATCCTTCCTGTCCAGTTTGACAATCAATTCTATGTGGGCTCCCGTTAGCCCATTCAGTAAGCTTCGGCCCAAAACCCTATTGACAGGTTGAAAGTATGGAGGGGGGAAATTAGGGATTTACCCGCCAAGATAGCCGAAGTTTTGTGTAGTTCGTCCACCAGATTCTGTCAGGTTTCTTTCACCAAAGAGAAGGAAATAACTCGAAACAGTTTTCAAGCATGTTATTCAGTGTTTCATAAGGATTCAGTTAACAGCTGCAAAATCTTAAGATGCAGCTAGGAATAAACTAATGCCTAAACGTGACTCCCCCAAAACTCCTCCCTCCATTAATACAACATTCCTGAACTTTTCATCATCATCGGAGGCAGCAGCTCTGATTGGGTTCAATTCTGTTCTTTCGACCTCTCACTGTACTCCGCTACAAGTTGAGCAAACGAGGACGACTTGTTCTCCAACAATCTTGCTGGTGTATCATATTCTTCAATCGAGCCTGATCAACACAATAAAGACGATATACTACATCATCAGCAATCTGATGTTTTTTTCCTAATACTAACCAGAGATAAAGAGTTCAGATAAACTTACCGTGACTGAGAAGAAGAACCATGTTGCTATCAAGAACAGATGTTATTCGATGGGCGATGGTGATAACTGTGCAATCGAAGAAGCGTTGTCTAAGTGTTTGCTGAATCAGATTATCAGTGGCTGTATCTACTGAGGAAGTAGCTTCATCGAGAACCAACACTTAGCTCTTTTTCAGCAGAACACGGCCAAGACATACTAGCTGTCTCTGCCCCATACTCCAGTTCTCTCCATTCTCAGTCACTGCAAGCCAGCAATTAGAATAATTTTTTATTTACCTTCACTACTTACAGTGTCAATAAGCAAATCCTTTCTGTCAAACATATAAACAAAAACCAACCTGCAGAATCCAGCTTTTTCTCCTTCTTCCTAACCTCATCTCCAAGGTGGCACTTATCCAGAGCCTAACATTTGTCATTGTTCAAACACATGAAGAGGTATAATTGAGGAACACATCATACCAAGCCATAGTAACAAACGTCACTGAAAATAAGGCAGATTAAAAGCAGAAAAAGACTAACCTCCCAAATCTGTTCATCACGGTATTCCTCAAGAGGGTCCAGGTTCCTTCTTACAGTCCCTTCAAACATGGTTGGATCTTGAGGTATAATGCTGAGCCTTGATCGCAAATCATGGAGTGCGATTGATGAGATATTGACACCATCAATCGTAATCCGCCCTGCTGTTGGTTCCACGATCCTGAAAAGTGTCTGTGTAAGGGTTGATTTACCACTGCCCGTTCTGCCCACGATTCCTGTTTTCTTTCCTCCTTCAAATGTGCAGGTCAGACCTCTCAACACAAGTGGCAAATGTGGGGCATATCGAACCTGTAAGGGTTCACCATGGATTAGAATGCAAAGTTTTTCATGGCAAAGAATGGCTAAGAAAGGGAAACAATTGTACCTGCAGGCTACTAATGTCAACTTGTCCTCGTGATGGCCAAGAAGGACCTGGTCGAATCTGTTCTACTGCATCTACAAGAGAATTCTCACTGGGAATAGAAGTGTACTGAAGAATTCGCTCCGCTGCTACAATGTTGTTCTCCACATCACTAATGTCCCACAACCATGCTTGAACGAAGTATATATTTGTTGCATATGTCAAGGCTACGGAAGTGACGGCTTTGGGACCAAGAAATGAAAGAAAAACGAAGATGAACATTTGTTTTTTTTTTTACCTGGAAATATGAATAGTAATGGCAGAAATGAAGATGATAGCAGAGGATTTACTCACATGGATCTGTTCCAGGGGGAGGGAATATGATGAAAAAGAGAGACACAGCACATACGATGGAAGATAAAAGATCAAGGCGAACACGGAGCCATGCCATTGTGGCAGCACTATGAAACTTGGAGCGAGAATATACGTCAGTAAGTCTCATAGCTGTCTCTTGGAATCTTAGCTGTTGATCAAAGCTCCTTATGGTTATCCTTCCAGAAATTGTATCAGCAACATGTTGGATGACTGGAGCTCTTGTCACTCCTGCCAACCTTGAAAGCTGCCGTGCTGCTGGTATGTAGTATTGCTATATAGATAGATAAATAGATTGTGACAGACACTTGGATTATTAATATCATTATTTGTTATGGTGACACATTTGAATTGATCTAATTGTGATAAACACAGCTCCATTGGACAATGATGTGGCATTGTTGAACCGTAGCCAAATTACCCACACCCGAGTAAACCCATTAATTATGGGCATGGTATGAGTAAAGTATACTTGGGTCTGGGCTTGCTAATATTTATCAAAGTTAAAAGGCTTGGCTAATATTTTTCATTTACCCGAAAAAAGATTCAACGCCTTTTATAACGGAATCTAATGTGGCAGCTGATATTGAGCAGTACTATTACGGTAACAAATCATGGGCTAAAATTTTGTAATGTTATAAAAAAAAATTGGCTACTATTTTGTATTTTTAAAGGTTTGACTTATATATTGTCAAAAGTAAAATTGTATTTACCAAAACAAATGGAATGGTTACAAAAAATATATATTTATGATAACAAGGCTAGATTTAAGCTTCATCAATAACTCATACCTGAAAGCAGAAGCTGATGGCAATATAAGGAATAAATGCTAAAAGAACTTGCCACGCAACCTGAGACATTGCTGCAATGCCTACCAGAAGCCCGATTATCGAAGAGGTGGCTGATTGAACATTTCCTAGACATTGCTGCAATGCCTACCAGACGCCTATAAAAGAAAAGAGTTCGCTTGGGGGGCAAGAAACAGAAGTCCATATGTAAAGAAAAATGGATGCCAAGTTAACTTACACGGCCAAGAATTCTCCCAGTAGGGTTCGAGTCCAAAAAGGACACGGGAGCACAGAAAATACACAGGTGCATCTTGTTGAAGAGCAGAGTCGCAGTGTCATACGCTTTAACGGCAAGAACGATGGATCTGGCTGCCACGCACGCAAAGCCAAAGATATTCAACAACAGGAACACAACTATCAGCTTGAAGGCACCGAACGGAGGGTTGTCCTGCTGGAAAACTGCTCCAGTTGCCCAAACCAGCAACTTCTTGTTGCCATACTGGAGCAGGTGGAAGACTATCTCTGCAACTATTACAACAGCTCCACTCGCTGTGCTGAGATACGTCCAGTAGACATGGTATCCGACTCCTCCTTTCTCCCTCTCTTCTTCTTGAACAAGCTGACGACCCAGATCTGTTATCCCGCCCCCACCATTCTGCAAAACCTTGTTTCCATCCTTGTGCTCAGTCTGCTTGCCGCTGCTCGTCTCGCCAATTTCCTTACTCAGACTTCTCACCACACTTTCAAGAGCTTTTGAGTCGTTCGATGACAAAGTATGTGCGCCAAAAAGATCCCCGAAACCAGGCCTTGAACTCTGGCAAATGTCACTGTACTTTCCACTCTGAGTTATCCTTCCATCTTTCATGACCTGACCAAAACGCACAATTGGAATTTGAGGCTTTTATAATTAAATTCACAATTTGATGGAACCCAATCAGAACAAAGCTAATCTAATAGATGAAAATAAAATCGAAGTTGGGTTCCGGTTTAATTCAATCCCCTTTGCATACCACAAGATTATAAAACATATCACAAGTTCACTGAAGCAGGCCAAAAACTTCATAAAGCGTGCATGTTCATTAGATTAGACCATAAACATATTAAAGCACACCACGTAGGGAATTGTTCCAAACCCAACCAAATCCTTATAAAACCACTCATTGCTCACACAATGAAGTCAAATTATAGAGAGATGTAAATTCACATTTAACTGACAAAGAAATCAAAATAGTTGAAGACTCATACTTGATTGTTCATTTTGATTGTCGGTGTCAAAAGTTAATTTGCTAAAGAGAATTTCGTTTTCAATATTTTCCAAAATTAAAACAATGCAATTAACTAATTGAAACTAAAGTATGAAGTACTTACCAAAATTAAATCCATCGCAGGTAAGAATTCAACTTGATGAGTGACGCAAACCACAGTTTTGGAGCTCAAATGGCCAAGCAAAACTTCCTGTTGCATTTATTCATAAAAAAAAAAACTTCCTGTTGCATTACAAAAAGAAACAGCATAAGCTCAAGGGAAGAACAATGCTGTAGATATAGTGCCAGTTACTATTAAGATTATGAATCCACACCTTAAACAAATGAGATCCAGTATGGGCATCCTCAGCACTGAAAGGATCATCAAACAGGTAGATGTCAGCATCTTGGTAGAGCGCACGAGCAATCTGCATCCTCTGCTTTTGTCCTTCACTCAAATTGACACCTCTCTCACCAATCTCTGTTTGATCACCAAAAGACAACATCTCCAGGTCTTTCTTCAGTGCACAAGCTTCCAGTACTCGGTCGTACTTGTCTTTGCCCATCTCTTGTCCAAACAAAATGTTGTCCTGAATCTTGCCACTCTGTATCCAAGGTGACTGAGCAACATAAGCCTTTGTCCCACAGAGAACAACGGAGCCAGAGATCTTGGGCACCTCTCCCAGAATGCAGGACAGCAAACTTGATTTTCCAGAACCAACAGTACCACAAACAGCAACCTTCATGCCACGGTCCACCTTCAGATTCACATCTCTCAACGTCGGGGGGTTTGGTGAAGATGAATCCCAAGAGAAACTCCCTTCAACGATCTCGATCGCAGTATCAGAAGCCTCTCTTGGGAGCCTCTTCACAACATCATCCGGCAAGTCTCCAAGACCGAGGAAGCTTACGATTCGATCAAACGAACCATTCACCCGAAACAACATGGAAATGGCGTTTGGGATCTCATAGATGGGAGCTTGAAGCTTCTCGAACACTGCAAGTATTGTTAACATCTCCCCTGAATCTAGTGGGATACCATAATAATGCATATACAAAGTGAACGTAGCCACAGCAACAAAAGTCGGGGCAGTCAATAAGTAAAAACTAATCGAAGCAGAAGCAAAAGCACATTTTTTTAACCATTCAGTCTCTACCTTCCGCAGGCCGATGATCTTGTTTAGAAACTTCATTTCCCAAGCATGCAGCTTCAGAACTCTCATGTTCCTCAACGTCTCAGATGTTGCTTTCATTCTTGCATGTTTCGACTCCACCACCTTTTCCTGATAAATCTTTTGGCATCTTAGCAAAGAGAAACTGATCGTCACTAGAACTATAATCGCAGCCAAAGTTAATATGGATGCAAACCCCAATATTTTTTGTAGTAGGAACAAGGCTGATAAAACACTCAAGCTACCAAACCACAGGCTATGTAAGCACCCAATCAAGTCGATAATTCTCTCTGCATCCACTGTCACCAAATTGATGATTTCCCCGCTAGTTAGGGCACTCTTCGACCGACACGAGAGGGTCAAGCCCTTGTTGTAGATCATCGTGACCATCAATGCACGCGTCCTGATATTAATACGTTGCAGCATAAACTGCACTTGGCTTTGTAACAAGCACTCCACGACCTTTGCAACCAGAAACGTTGAGGCGAAGTAATACTGCTTGTATTTCCCTCTCTCATCAAAAGATTCAAAGAAAAAGGCCAGGACAGAGATACTAACATGGCTCGCTACCATGCTCAACAAGGCCAGAAAAGCTATGAACAGAATCTCGATCCAAGCTGCGAGGAACAATGCCTTGGCAAGCTTGAAAGCTGTAATAGTTTCCGGATCAGATTCAACAATCCTCTCCTTAAGTGATGGGAATACCCCGAAAACAATGTCACCTTTACGAAGGTGAGGAACATCCTCAATCACTAATGCTTTCTTATACCCAAGAGCAATCAGAGAACTGATCCAAGAGAAAGAAAAAATGCTCCAAACAACAGCATATGAATGGCGAGCGAAACATGATCCATGTGAAGCTCTTCCAGAACTTGACTCATCATGATCCAAGAGGGGCTCTTCCAGAAGTGTATTGTTATCAATACTAGTATCATTGTCACTTTTATATCTGAAAAGCGCCACATAACAGAGAAACAGAGCAACCAACACAGAGACTGCATCAGAAACCAAATGCAGAATCTGTGAAGATGCATGGAGTTGACTGTAGAGCACAATATCAACAACAAGGCAATAACAGGAGCTTGAGAGATAAAACACCCACCATATCCTCAAGGGTAGAGGAAACTTCGCTTCGGCTGAATCTGACACTTGGGTGTGCAGATAAGCGCCAAGCGCGCCCCAAGAGCAAGTTCTGAGGGCTAAATCGAAAAGGGTCACCACCACATCATCGTCGTCAGACTTCCCATTCCAGGACCAATTGAAATAACTGTATAAGCTCAACACTAGGTTCAAGGATGAAAGAACAAGAGAGCATAGCACGCTCGTGTTATAGTAAAAACACCTCTTCTTATGCTTGCCTGAACAACTTCCCTTAGAACTATCACCAGGATTTCGCACCCAGAACATTTTCCTCACAAGGGAGGAAAGCAACCCCAACAGCAAAAGCATGTGTATAGAAGCGGATAATCCTCGTAGGAAAGTTGGCTTAAGGAAGAACATGTCTTTGTATGAGGATGGAAGAATATGAAAAACTAGGGAGACAGTAGATGCGAAACCCAACTCTGTTTTGCCGCATCAAAAGCTTCAGCGGCTGGAGAAGATGGACTACAAATATAATAGCTTGCTCTGCATTCAACGGTAGTTGCCAGGAATCAACAGATACAAAGCGAGCCTACTGCAAAATTTCCTGGTTCTTAAACTAGTAATTTAGTAACTAATTACACAGACTACGAGACGTAGTTACTTTAATCGAGCCGCGGCAAATATTATAAGCCTGGAGCGAATCTCAAGGACGCTCTGGTGGTAGTAAAGAAATCGAGGCCGCCGCCCCGCCGGAGTTTCGATTTCCCTGCATCTCCGACGGTAATATAGCAGTGCCAAGAGCTTCGATTCTCCCTTTCTCCAATGGGAGTGAAGAAATCGAGGCCGTCGAGGGTCTCGATTTCCCTTCATTCTTCGACAGCAGCAGTTTGACGACACCAAAAGTTTCGATGATTCAAACTCTGGGTTTCGAGAATCTCCAACCCTCGCCAGAGGAGATGAATGGTACAGGGGTCGTCATGGCCGAAACAGGGAGAAGCTTGGAGCTTCGATTCTCCTGCTCCACTCCGACCTGCGTTTCAATTTTCCCGATATCGACGGCCGAGACAGGGAGACGCTGACGCTTCTATTCTCATCTCCGGCTACAGGGGATCGACCGAGGGACATTTCGACTTCGACTATCGCGCCGGCGGACATAGAAAGCGCTTGGCGCTTCGATTCTCCGACTCCCATCACACCCCAACTTGGCCATGTCAGATTTGTGAATTGGGATCTTGCGGAAGAAAGAATCAGTTCTCGACTTCTCGTTAGACTGAAACGTTGAGTTGCTTGCTTCAGTGCAGCCATATTTATATGAGTGGCCAAGTTTCATTTCAGTACCTATAATATAACAAATTACACATAACTACCCAGAAACAACAAAATTACATTTGTCCACCTATACTTTTATACTATCTCTAACACCCCCTCAAAATTGAACATGTATATCACACATACCCAGCTTGCATATCAAGTTGTCGAACCTATATAAATCGATAGTAACTTGGTCAATATGTCGGCTATTTGGATGTTGTTGACAAGTGGAAGAGTTTCATGAGTCCGGAAGACATTTTCATACCTGATGAGGTGGTAGTCGCTCTTTATGTGCTTGGTCCACTCATGAATTATTGGGTTCTCTGCGATTCGGATAGCAGAGGTGTTGTCACGGTACATAGAGAAAAGGAGAAGTAAAGCAAACATTTAAATCTTTGAAAATATAAACTAGCCGATGTAATTCACAAGACAAATCATTCATTGCTCTATATTTTGCTTCAACAGAAGAGCAGATGACTGTGTGTTTGCTACTTTGCACGCGCAAGCTGGATTTTCAAAGTTATAGGTTTTCCGAATGATCCCTTGATTTAGTTTGTTCAAGTATTTCAATGTACGTAAAATTATTCTTGTGTAAGGTAAATCATATGTGAAGATTAAGTAAAATGTAAAAATAACATGTTCCGGATCTTGAACGGCAAGATTAAGGTAGAGTATGGGTCTCCTTTGTTTTTGTTTTTGTTTTTTGTTTTTTGTTTTTTGTTATGAAAGGACAAAGGTGCAGGCATAATTTCCATAGACTTGGTAACACCAAGCATTCCAAAATTAGGGATGTAATCTAGGGGTGTTCAAACGGTTTGGTTACCATGGTAACCGTTTTAACCGGTACTATTTGGATAATTTGGTTTGGTTAATTTGAATAATTGGTTTGGTTTGGTTAAAGTTTTTAGCTTGTTTGGTTTGGTTTCAGACACTCCTAACCAGTCAAACCAAATTAACCAGTTAAATAATTAGTCATATATCTAACATATATTATATACACATACTTAATACTTTGCATAACCACTCAAGAGTTAACGTTCATCCCTTTTAGACTCATAAAATATAAAGCTCAATATTGCTCATATAGTGTATATTTGTATATGTAAAATGTAGACCACAACTTATGGACGCCTAATTTAGATAAATTTAATACATTATGATGGATGAAAACTTGAAAGGAATGTCATTTCCAGCCTATGATAATTGCTAAGAGTAGGGGTGGGAATCGGTCGGTAAACGGTAAACCGTTTACCGAATTTACCGGTTTCGGTATACCGACGGTGGGCAAACTGGTTACCGTTTACCGATACCGGTTTGTAACCGGTTTACCGATTACCGAATTACCGGTAAACGGTTACAAACCGGTTTACCGAATTACCGCCCAAGCTAATTTGTTGAGTTGCTAGTTTGCGTTGGAGGAGGAATGGCGGATGGCCTGTTGGCTGGAGGAGGAATGGCGGATGGCTGTTGGTGGTCGTTGGCTGTTAGGACTGGGAGGAGGACGGCAGAGGCGATTATTGGATGCGTTTCCGTCTCTGCCGGGGAAATCGAGAGGGGGCAGAGATGGAGATTTGGTGAGTGATGTGAGGGTTGGGACTGGGAGGAGGACGACAGAGGCAGGGGATTAGGACTGGTGAGTGATTGTTCGAGTGATGTGAGGGTTTGGAAACTTTGGATGCAGGGGATTAGGGCAGGTGGTGGCGGCCCGCAACTGGAGGAGGAATGGCGGCGCGGCGTCTTCTGCTCTGCGTCGGGCGAAGGAGAAGCGGAGTGGAGAGGCGGCGGGAGAGGCGGACTGGAGAAGAGAGGCGGCGGCGTCTTCTGCTCTGCGTCGCCGTCGGCGACTCTGCGTGCGAAGGGGAAGGGTCGAAGGCACGAAGCGGCGAGGGCGAAGGGATGAAGCGGCGAGGGCGAAGGGGCGAAGGAGGCGTTTGCGTTTTGGCAGGGGCGCGCAGCCTTTCAGCTAGGGTTTCATTCCCTAAAACGCCGCCGTTTCCAATTCGGTATTTACCGATTTAGCGACGGTAAATACCGACCCTGTGTCCGGTAAATTGGATCTTCGCCGTCGCCACCGGATACCGATACCGACGGTAATCGGTTTACCGTTTACCGACCTTTACCGGTTCGGTAAAACGGTAAACCGGTTACCGTATTACCGATTCCCACCCCTAGCTAAGAGACTAAGTCAATTTACACAAACACAAAAATTCATTAACTCATACCATTGTCATAAATTTTTGTTAGGTGAATACTTCTATACTAATCGTAAGATAATTGTCTTAGTTGCATGTATTTTTGTTAAGGGTCAACTATAACTACGTGTTGTTTGTTATGTTTTATTCATAATATAAATTGCGAATTGTTGCATTAACCGGAAAATTTCATCGTCAATGATAATGTGATTTTATATTGGTTAATCTGGTTAACCAATTAACCAAACCGATTAAACTTTAGTTTGGTTAATTTGGTTGTTGTATTAGTTTGGACGGTTTGGTTATGATATTGTATTATATGGTTAATGGAATTTAGCCTTATTTGGTTTGGTTATAACCATGGTAGTCATTTGAACACCCCTGTAATCAATGCTTTATCGCTATGTCAGTGTCATACACATAAATCCCAAATAGTAATCTAAATTCAATTTTAATCTCAATCCTAGAATAAATTCAGTAGCTAAATCACAATCCCTAATATTTTGTTCGGTATCGGTATATACCAAATTAATTCCCTTCAACCAAATATATAAAAGTAAATACACCTCTCCTCGCAGCAACTCCACAAACCGTTATTGAAATATATAAAGCAAACAATGGCGCTAACACTCATAAAACCAGGGGGAAAAAAAGCCTCAAGTATAATAACAACAAAATAGGAAAATGTGATGCTAACAAACATTAATAAAATTATAATAATTAACAAAAACATGAGATGGCTAAGCAAAAGTAAACCATAAACATTTACAACTAACTAAATGAACTTGATCTATGTTGTCAAATAATGAGGGAATAAAATATGTATAATTAAATGATAATTTTGGTGGATGAGGGTCTGCTAGCAGCAAGTGAGAAAGCCTAGTTGAGATGGATAAAATACTCACTAGCATATGTTTCGATATTCATCAGTATTTCGATTATCCCAAATATCGTTACCAAACTTCAGTCCTATCTAAAACATGTTCATAAATTAATAGACCCAAAATAAAATAAAATTTACATTTATGTGTAATTTTACTAAACATAAAACCCAAATATGTCTGTAAATTTCCCTTCCATTTAACTTTATAGAGAAACAAGTTATGTAAAAAGATGTTTGGAAAAAAAAAAACTAATAAAAGAGGTTCTGCTCATAACATTAGGCTGCCATAAAAAAAATTCTAAAATTGGGCTCAATTAAGAGCAATAGGGATATTGGGCCTCGCTTTAAACCCAAAAATGGTGTATTTGGCAATACGAGTAGTTAATGGTCTTTCATTCGTTTGGGCTGCAGAGGGTTTAACTATTGGGCTATATTCTGATGGACCATCTTTTTTATTGTTGGGCTGGTATTGTCATCCAGCCGACTTATTTATCGTAAAAAATTCCAGCAGGAAACACGGGTCTGAAACGCGTTCGAAACGCGTTCGAAAAGTGTTCGAAACGCGTCTAACGGCTAAATAACGCTATAAAAGCGGAAACGCGTCCTAGCTAACCGCCTTCATAGCTCGGCCTTGATCTATAAATACCAACTGAAGCTCTCTTGTTCATTTTTCCCTCCACCCAGCAACGTCTTCATCATCTCTCTCCAAGAATGGGAGCAAAGGGAAGTAAGTAAAAGTCACACACTCTTTCCTTCTAGGGTTTCAAGTTTCTCTACCGCCTGCTTTTCTCATGTTGCCTCGAGGATCATCGAAAGTAGGGTTTTGAGGAAGCCAAAGGGAAAGATGATTTCGGGAAACCCCATTAATTCGCTGTTGGTCGCCGCCTGTAAGTAGTTGCCCATGGATTCTACAAGTTTAGAATCGGAACTGACGAAGAAAAGGGAGGGTCGAAGGGGACGGGCACGGGAGTAGCCACAAGTTTTGTTTCCAAGTTGTTACCCTAGAGTCTGCCGGGTGATATTTGGCTAATCACCGACACTTCAGATCGAATTCGTTGCTGGTTCCCTGTTGAGGTATGTTTCAGACCTACCCTTTTCGTTTTCTGGGCTGGATAATTAGTGGGAGCGATTACGATGGGTCTTCGAGAGCTTTCCTGTCCTCTCTGAAAAAACCGCTCTGATCTTGCTGGTACACGATTTCGAGAAAGTCCAGTGGGCAGTGACATTGAATGCAAGATCTATGAGTTACCATGTCAGCTGTTTAGTCCGTCCCTCTTTGTATGCACAATTGATCATGTCGGTTCGTATAGTGTCTATGTTGAGAAAGAGTGAGGTGAATGTTCCTAGTTCCTACAATCGATTTATAAAAAACTTCAGTCCGTATAGTTGAGTCCCATTTTACACACGTTTGCTCTTGCTCCGTTTTAATGCCAAGAAGTTTTTAACATGATAAAGCGGGGTCCTAGAAGAGAGTTATGAGTGGTCGCAGCAGCTGCTCTTCTGCCCAAATGTCGGTTTGTCCATCAGTCCATGATTCTCTAATGTGCATGGCAATGAGGTCCTAGAAGAGAGTTCTGCTAGTCAGAGTTGCTCTTCTGCCTTGTTTGTCATTGTGATTAGTTCTTTGATATATATTCTTATAGGGTCCTAAAAGAGAACCATGATTAGGCTTAGTTGCCCTTCTGCCCCATCTTTGATAATGGGGTCCTAGATGGGAACTATGACTAATCCTGGTTGCTCTTTTGTCCCCATCCTACCATCTTCTCTAT